TAAGATTTCTGGAATATCCGGGATTTCTAGAACACCTAAAATCTATAAAATCTCAAAAGTTACAGAGATTTTGAAAATCTTTGAATCGTTGGAAGAATCTTCAGAATTTCAGGAAGTTCAAGATCTTCAGAATCTTGAGAATCTCTGGAATCTTTCTTATCCCTGGAATTTACTGAATTTCTCCAAGATTTTGAAAATCTCTGAATCGTTGGAAGAATATGCAAAATTTCAGAATCTTCAAGCTCTCCAAAAACGTAAGAATCCCTGGAATTTATTAAATTTCCGCAGTCTTAAGACTTATAGTGTATATAAAGTTTCTGGAATATCTAGGATCTCTAAAATCTATAATATCTGAAAATTTGGAGGCATTTTGAAAATCTCTAAAGTTTTGGAGGAATTTTTAGAATTTCAGGATACTCATGATCTTCAGAATTTTGAGAATCTCTAGAATCTTTCTCATCCCTGGAATTTATTGAATGTCTCCAAGATTTATGATCTCTAATTTCATTAAGTATATCTAAGATTTCTGGAATATCCGGGATTTTTAGCACATCTAAAATCTATAAAATCTCAAAAGTTACTAGGAATCTGAAAACCATTAAATCGTTTAAAAAATCTTCAGAATCGTGAGAATCTCTGGAATCTTGCGGATCTCTGAAATTTGTTGAACTTCTACAGTATTTATGATTTCCAGAATCTTAACATCTATAGAATATCTAGAATTTCTGGAATATCTCCGATTTCTAGGATCTCTAAAATTGTGAAATCTCAAAAGTTACAGAGATTTTGAAAATCTTTGAATCGTTGGAAGAATATGCAAAATTTCAGAATCTTCAAGATCTCCAAAAACGTGAGAATCCATGGAATTTATTAACTTTCTGCATCCTTAAGGCCTTTAGTGTATATAAAATTTCTGGAATATCTAGGATCTCTAAAGTTTATAAAATCTCAAAAATCAGAAGGATTTTGAAAATCTTTGAATCTTTGGAAGAATCTTCAGAATTTCAGGAAGTTCAAGATCTTCAGAATCTTGAGAATCTCTGGAATCTTTCTTATCCCTGGAATTTATTGAATTTCTCCAAGATTTTGAAAATCTCTGAATCGTTGGAAGAATATGCAAAATTTCAGAATCTTCCAGCTCTCCAAAAACGTAAAAATCCCTGGAATTTATTAAATTTACGCAGTCTTAAGACCTATAGTGTATATAAAGTTTCTGGAATATCTAGGATCTCTAAAATCTATAATACCTTAAAACTTGGAGGGATTTTGAAAATCTTTAAAGTTTTGGAGGAATTTTTAGAATTTCAAGATATTCATGATCTTCAGAATTTTGAGAATCTCTAGAATCTTTCTCATCCCTGGAATTTATTGAATGTCTCCAAGATTTGTGATCTCTAATTTCCTTAAGGACTGTAGTGTATATCTAAGATTTCTGGAATATCCGGGATTTCTAGAACACCTAAAATCTATAAAATCTCAAAAGTTACAGAGATTTTGAAAATCTTTGAATCGTTGGAAGAATCTTCAGAATTTCAGGAAGTTCAAGATCTTCAGAATTTTGAGAATCTCTGGAATCTTTCTTATCCCTGGAATTCATTGAATTTCTCCAAGATTTTCAAAATCTTTGAATCGTTGGAAGAATATGCAACATTTCAGAATCTTCAAGCTCTCCAAAAACGTAAGAATCCCTGGAATTTATTAAATTTCTGCAGTCTTAAGACCTATCGTCTATATAAAGTTTCTGGAATATCTAGGATCTCTAAAATCTATAATATCTGAAAATTTGGAGGGATTTTGAAAAACTTGAAAGTTTTGGAGGAATTTTTTGAATTTCAGGATATTCATGATCTTCAGAATTTTGAGAATCTGTAGAATCTTTCTCATCCCTGGAATTTATTGAATGTCTCCAAGATTTGTAATTTCTAATTTCCTTAAGGACTGTAGTGTATATTTAAGATTTCTGGAATATCCGGGATTTCTAGAACACCTAAAATCTATAAAATCTCAAAAGTTACAGAGATTTTGAAAATCTTTGAATCATTGAAAGAATCTTCACCATCGTGAGAATCTTTGGAATCTTTCCTATCTCTGGAATTTATTGAATGTCTTCAAGATTTATGATCTCTAATTTCCTTATGGACTATAGTATATCTAAGATTTTTGGAATATCCGGGATTTCTAGAACATCTAAAATCTATAAAATCTTAAAAGTTACTGGGATTCTGAAAACCATTAAATCGTTTAAAAAATCTTCAGAATCGTGAGAATCTCTGGAATCTTGCGAATGTCTGAAATTTGTTAAGCTTCTACGGTATTTATGATTTCCAGAATCTTAACATCTATAGAATATCTAGAATTTCTGGTATATCTCCGATTTCTAGGATCTCTAAAATTGTGAAATCTCAAAAGTTACAGAGATTTTGAAAATCTTTGAATCGTTGGAAGAATATGCAAAATTTCAGAATCTTCAAGATCTCCAAAAACGTGAGAATCCCTGAAATTTTTCGGATCCCTGGAATTTATTAAATTTCTGAAGCCTTAAGGCCTATAGTGTATATGAAATCTCAAAAATTAGAAAGATTTTGAAAATCTTTGAATCTTTGGAAGAATCTTCAGAATTTCAGGATCTTCAAAGTCTTCAGAACCGTAAGAATCCCTGGAATCTTTCGCATCTCTGGAATTTATTGAATTTCTGCAGTATTTATGATTTTTAGGATCCTTAAGGTCTCTAAAATCTCAAAAAATACAGAAATCTTTGATCACTGGAAAAATCTTCGAAATTTCAGTATCTTCAGAATGGTAAGAATCTCTTGAATCTCTCTCATCCCTGAGATTTATTGAATTTTTACAAGATTTATGACCTCTAATAGTCTTAAGGCCTATAGTATATCTATGATTTCTGGAATATCCATGATTTCTAGGATCTCTAAAATCTGAGATTTATTGTTATTATTATTTTATTATTACAACTGAACCCAAACAACTTCGGTAAGACTCTTTCTTGAGTACATATTTTTGAAACTAAAATTAAAAAGGTTTCAGGTTTTATTAAAAAAAATCGGTATTAAGGTATGTATACAATTTTCAGGAAAAGTTTGTGTGTGTGTGGGGGGGGGGGGGGGAGGGGATAAATGGATACATTTTGAATAACGATATACAACGCTTTCGATGACCTTAAATTGCAAAATGTTATATAATTTTATTTTTTTTTTTCAAAATGTGGATGTCTAGGGTAAAAAACTCAAAACGGATTTATAAACCACAAGTACAAAAGTACATATGTTATTTTATAAAATTTACTATTGTAATTGAATTTTGGAAAATTAGTAACAATTTAGTAACAGGTAAGGTACGAGACAAAAAATTATCACGGTGCAATTTTTTAAGAATTTTTTATTATCTAGACCTTTGACTAAATAATACACCCAGTAGAGGTTAATTTAGTATACAAAATGCTTTTTTCAGTGATATTTTTGCATCAAATAATTTCTGATCTGTGAAAACTCAATTGTGTCAAGAAATTTTGAGACAAAAAATTATCACGCTTCACTTTTTGTATAAAAATCAATTAGAAAAACGTAGTATGCGTAATTGTTGTTTATTTGTATGATATGCACGATGTGCAATTGTTTGTTAGAACTGATAAAGTGTCGAAATATAATTGGCTGAGCTACAATAATTGTCTTTCCCCATGGGCAAAGAAAACGATTTGACAGAACGTGAAAAAGGACAGATTGAGGCATACTATGACCAAGGTTTGACTTTTGCGGAAATAGGATGAAAGATTGGAAGAGATCGGACCAGAATCTCCAAGTTTGTAAGAAAGAAATACAGTGAAAATGGACGACAAAATTGTGGAAGAAAAGAAAAACTCACTGCACGTGCCAAAAGATCCATTGTGACTCCGGGTATAAAGGATAACATGTCGTCTCAAATGATAAAGACGACCCTAGAACTTCCTGTTCACAAAAGAACAGTTTTGCGAGTACTGGCTAATGACAAAAATGTTAAATATGTCAAATATAAGAAACAACAAATGTTAACAAAAGAACATATTCAAAAACGTCGTGAATGGACCAGAGAAATGCAGACGAAAAATGAAGAATGGTTCCAGATAGTTTTTTCAGATGAAAAGAAAGTTAATCTTGATGGTCCTGATGGTTTTAGATATTATTGGCACGATTTACGGAAAGAACCAAAGTATTTGTCAAAACGAGTTCAAGGAGGTGGCAATGTTATGGTCTGGGGTGCTTTTAGTAGCTTAGGAAATAATAACTTAGGATTAATCAAATCGAATGGACTCTCTGAATTACCAAGATGTGTTGGAAATGCGCCTCAAACCATCTTTGAACCTATTTCAAGACAGCAAAAACGTGGTTTCAACGACAAAATATAGCTTTGCTATAATAGCCTGCGAAAAGCCTACATCTCAACCCTATTGAGAATGTATGGAGTTCTCTTGTACGAGAGGTTTATAAAGATGGGAAGCAGTACGCAACAGTTAATGAATCGAAAGATGGTATCTTGGGGGCTAGGGAGAATTTGGACGTCAATTACTTGATCCATTTGGTCAATTCTATGAAGCAACGCGTCTACAATCTCATAGAAGCAGGTGGAAAATACATTGGGTATTAAATTAGTTTTCATTTAGTTAGTTAGTTATTTCCCTTTTAAGCGTGATAATAATTTGTCACAATAAGTCTGTTAACAAAATTACATATTTTCAATAAATTTCGTTCAGTTTAGTGTTTTCTGTGAAAATGTTTTATTAAATTAATTAAAAATGGAATTGCTGAATCAACCAGGTATCTTCACTTTCTTTTAATACCTTTAGGCAAAAATTCTGCACCGTGATAATTTTTTGTCTCGTACCTTATAAACTCTCTTAAAAAATCTTTCCCCAATTTCACCCCACCGGAAATTTAATTTAGCCGCCGCTACTGGTACAATTCACCTCCCTAGAACTTAGTAACTTTTGATTTCCCCACTACACACAACCCTGTAAATCCACAAACTTGACAGAACCGACAAAGTGTGAGGTTACATTCACCAAATCGTTTTTTCCACAACAATAACAACAAAAATGGCTCAATTAGGCCGCTTCGCCCTCAACCGCCTCATTCTAACCTCGCGCAAACACGTAACCCCCACCAAACTCAACGCTATCCGCAACTTCCAAAAAAATCACGGTAAGCCCCTTTTCTAGGTTAGGTAATGTTTGTGGAATTTCCCCAGCCCCTGCTCTCCAAATCCACCGACCGACATGCCTTTCGCCAAAAGCGCTATTTTTAGCAGCCCGTGCAAGTTGCAACGCAATTTCTCCACCATAAATAACAAAAATAAAAAGTGAGGTTATGCCAATTTCCAGATGTATTTTTCCTGCGGTGCACGAGCAGCACCACGAGCGCCGCCCCCAAGGACGATGACTACCACACGATTATCAAGGACACGGAAAAACCGACCGGAGCGCCCACCAAACACGAGTTTCAGGCAGAAACACGCATGTTGCTGGATATAGTAGCGAGGTCTCTGTACTCGGATAAGGAGGTTTTCGTGAGGGAGTTGATCTCGAACTCGAGCGACGCGTTGGAGAAATTTAGGTTTTTGACGCTGTCGGAGGACGATGCGGTGCGGCAGAAGTTGAAAGAACCGAACCGGGTGCTGGAAATTCACATCTCTACGGATAAGCAGAACAGGACTCTCACTATACAAGTGAGTGTCAACTTAATAACGCGATTTTTATTTATTTATGTATTTATTGATTATTTTTAAAGGATACGGGTATTGGTATGTCCCGGGACGAATTAGTTGCAAATCTTGGAGTTATAGCGCGTTCTGGCTCAAAAGTAAATTTATAACCCACTGTGGGAACAATTTCTAACAATCATTTCAGGCGTTTTTGGAAGAATTAAAGAAGAAAAAAGATTTAATGACGGATGCTAGCGGCAACATTATTGGACAGTTTGGCGTCGGGTTTTACAGTGTGTTCATGGTCGCTGATAAGGTGGACGTCTACACAAGATCGTCCATGGAAGATCAAGGCTATAAATGGAGTTCTGATGGGTAAAATTGACCCGCACGTGGTTCAAATAACGGTTATTTTTTCCAGAACCGGGTCGTATGAAATCCAAGAAGCTGAAGGTGTTCAATGTGGCACTAAAATAGTTCTACATTTAAAAATCGACAGTCGAGAATTCTGCGACGATACGACTGTAGAGAGTGTTATTAATAAATATAGCAATTTTATTGGAAGCCCGATTTACTTAAACGGAAAAAAAGCCAATATTGTTAAGCCCGTTTGGCTTTCTGACCCCAAAACTGTAACTCTGCAACAACATAACGAATTTTATAGGTTCGTCAGCGGTAGCTACGATGTTCCTAGATATATTTTACATTATAACACGGATGTACCTTTATCAATACACGCGTTATTGTATTTTCCGGAAGGCAAGCCCGGTATTATTATTTTTTTTAGCTAAATTTATATATTCAACTAAATGACGGTTGTAGGGTTGTTTGAAATGTCACGCGAAGTCGAATCAGGGGTTGCCCTCTACACCCGTAAAGTCCTAATCAAAAATAAAACCGACAACATCCTTCCAAAGTGGTTACGCTTTGTTAAAGGAGTCGTCGATTCAGAAGATATCCCCTTAAATTTGAGCCGCGAGCTTTTACAAAATAGTGCCCTAATAAGGTAATCATTAAAAATAAAAAATACACACACTATATTACTTAAATATCACCATTTTTAGAAAACTCAGAGACGTCTTAACAAGCAAAGTCGTCAAATTCTTACTCGAACAACTAAACAAAAAACCCGAAGATTACGAAAAGTTCTACGCCGACTATGGTCTCTTCATTAAAGAAGGCATCATCACCAACCCCGTCCAATCAGAGAAGGTAATCACCCGAACACCTCGCTCCCCTCGCTCCCGGATTGATCCCCACCGTCATCCAAATCATCATCACTTGGCATTTCTTCATCTTCGTCTTCGTTCTCTTCGCGCGACGCTTCCGTGCTCTGCGACAAAATATCCTCTCCTTGAAGATCCCTATTCCTCAAATTCCCCATCCAGAACGCCGCCGAACACCCATTAGCCACCAACGCCGCCTTCACCCGAAACACCAAAGTCTCCAAAGTGAGCCTAAACTGCGGCACGTACGTCATCAAACTCGCGTCCTTCATCAGTTTCGAGTAACAACACAAATGGTGCAGAAAGCGCGTATTCGACTGGATGGTTTTGAAAATTTCGACCACTCGATCCGGCTCAGATTTGAGTTCGATCTCGAGAATCGGGATCCCATGGGAGAGGAAAATCTTCAAAATCGCGACCGATTTCTTGAGGAAGCAAACCAAGTTGGCTTTGCTTTCTTGGGCTTTGACCACGGTCATCAAACCTTGCATGGTCAGAGCGGTGGTACGCCAAAGCGTCAAGTGTTGCGAATTCGTTAAAGATTGAACCTCGGTTTTGACTCTTTCGTGTAACGAAGTCCACAGGTTTCGGTAAAAAATGTAGAAGTGGCTTTTCGTTACGGTTTGGAGCATGTCTAAAGAGTCGCTTTTGGTGGTGAGGGTTGGGGCTTCATCTTGGAGAGTACCAACCATCCCGCAGATGGTTTTAATAGTAGCGCTACTGAGGTACGACTTGATTAGAACGTCGACGTTGGTGGAACTCTGCGTCTGCCACTTTTGTTTCAAGAGGGTTCCAGCGGTTTTGGCAATTTTGGAACGCGTCGAAGGATTGGGGCTCAGAGTGAATAAAGCTTCAGTGGTGGCTATAAGATCGACGGCTTGCTTCAAACTCGAACAGTACTTGGTATAGTCGGATAGGCGATTTACGAGTTCCGCTGTCAAAAGATTGACTGAGTTTAAAGGCGTGCTGGTGATATCCGAACGGAACGATTTTAAGATTTCTCTTAGTGTGTCTAAACGTTTGGAGTGTTGGAAACCCGACCAGCTAAAAATCACTGATAAACACTCCAAGACTAGACCAAACCCGAGTTTCAACTGGGTGGTTTCGTTGTCGTCGCACTGTTCGATTTCGTCCATTTTTTTAATAATAACTTCGAAGTGTTGGTTAACATTTAGGAGAACTTTGTGACAGTCGGATATCAAGTCTGACGGAGCGACGATATTCAAGTGTGATAGCCCTAAATCACGTTTCTTAGTTAGTTTGGTTAATTTCGCCACGTAATCCGTCAGAATGAAGTTGAACTGGTTTAAGTTCAGTGTTATCGAGACTGTGGAAGACATTTCTGCGCACGTCAGAGGGTACTTGAGGAGTTTCACCAAATCTGTGTCGATCTCTCGGAAGGTGAAGTTTCGTTCGAGTTTGGTTTTTGGGGGTGGTTTTGAGCTGCAAGGTGCGACTGAGGTGTCTTCCACGAACTCCCTGGTTTTGAGTTTCTTGCGGGGGGCTTTCCCGACTTTCGTGGCTTCTTTGATTGGAGACCCGCTCCGATTCGTCGACTGTGAGCCAAAATAACTTTGGGGTAGTTTATGACTGGGGACATTCTCCAAACACTCCAGTAGGAGGTTCTCCAGCTCGTGCAAATCATCGACGCGTCGGATTACCTTTGATCTTAACTTTGGCTCCTTCTGGACTACGAACCCGCTAATCGTTTCCCGAAACCAATTGATACAGTGGAATACACAATCCGCCATTTGTTTGAGTTGTTCTATTCCTACACTATCCCGTTGTTCGAACTTGGGGAGGATTACGCCACAACCCAGTAGCGCATCAATCGAAGATAAGTCACCGTTGTGGTGTCTAAAGTGCAGCATGCGCAGTAACCGAAAGTGCGGCGCAAGCACTAAAATCGAGTTCTTCTCGGGTTTGAGGGTCAATTCTGCTATATTCACCGCAAAGAGACTGTCCACTTCATCTTCACTATTAATATCGAACTGTTTACTAAATTCCAAGTCGTTAATAGCGTCACAAACGCTCTCCGCGACGTACATGTGTTGGAACTCATTGGTAACCAAATCGTACAACCACGTCACGAAATTTTTATCTACCTTGTCACTCTTCACCAACATCGACCCCAATTCATCGTAATACAGTCCGAGTAGTTCGGGACAAGTACACGCCGAAGTGTTCGTCAGTTCCAAAATGGCGGCGGCTTCTTTCGCCGACCCTTTCAACTGATTGACACTCAAAATCGTTTCTTCGGACAAAGAAAGGTCACTTTGGTCGTCCATAGTTGCAGCTACGTGTTTCGCCATCACCACCCCTGCTATAATCCCACGAAGCTTGAGGCTACGTTTCGAACTCGACAAATGCTTGCGGATGACCATGTGGATCTCCTCTTTCAAACCCAGCAGCGATTCGTCGTAGCAAGTCAGTCTGCACAAAATTTCGTAAACCAGACGCACATCATTCGACTCACAAGTGTCGATTTTTTCGAGAAGTCTCATCAAAATAATCGCGTGGTTCGGCGACTTGGCCACATCGTCCAACAACTCGACTAAAATATTCAAAATCGCGGTTAAGTTTTTCTGGTCACTGGACCCCACCAAGACTACCATGTTTTCGAGGATTTCTTGCCGGAAAGTCGGTATTGTGTAGTCGTGGGTGAACAGAAGCTTGAATAGAGTGGAAGCGAAGTCCGTAACGACTGGATCGTCGGAGGTTCGTAGCAAACCCGAGCCGATTTCCACCACGGAATTAAAGTAGTCACGGAGGAGTTGCTGCGGGAAGTACTTGTCAAAGCCTTGTTCCAACAACCCGCATTTAAACAACCCTTCCTTGACTCGCTTTCGGAACGTAGTCTCAATCGTGCGTTTTTTCAACTTGGTGTTTGAATGTAGCATGAATAGGATAATCAAGTCGATTGGTTTGTGGTCCGTGTGGACTTTGATGTTTGAAATTAGGGACAACCAACCCTCGGACACGACTTTCGTGACTGCCGATTTTTGCAAGCGGGTGAAAATGACCACTTTGGAAGATTCTTTGTCTTTGTCGGGGTTGTCGTTGCCCATGATCGCGTTCAAGGAGCTGCGGATTTTCATCAAGGTGCCCGGTAAAGTGCGCGATGTGCAGTCGCTCATTAGAAAGTCTAGAAACACGGGGAAGGTTTTGGTCGACGTGCCTGTTAACATTTTAGCTAGGATGTGGTCTTGGATTCGCGCTCGAGTGTCAGCGTCGAGATTTAAAGCGTTCAAACAGTCGATTATGGCCGACGCGAGGTCGTCACTCTTGTCTAGCATTTGGATAAGTTCGCTCGCGGTCTCGCTATACTCGCTATCAGGTAAGATTTCAGGAATCGAGTCTAGGATTTCTAGTTGCGACGGAAACGACGCGATGTCTAGAATGTCTAACAGTTTGGTTGTGAGACTCTGGGGGTCTTTAATATGAGGTAGGTATCGCAGTTGGCTTAATAGTAGCCGCAAACGCGGCACGTCGTGCTCCTCATCACTAATAGTCGACGTCAACTCATCCAATACTATGTCGATAATCTCCTTCTGCAGCCGGCTCACTTTGAGGAATATTCTGAAATAGGTGAAAATGTGGGTTAAAACAACAACACATAAATTACGCTGATTTATCACGTCTCAAGTGCATTCACCTGACACTATAAATCACGCACTTTTACAATACCTGAACAAACTCTCCTGTTGGATTTCCACCTCGGTCTCCGGACTGCCACCCTGTTTCTTGAAACTAGTAGCCAGGAGCGCCTTCCTCAAGTACTTTTCCTTTTTCACTAAAACCCTGAACCCCCGAAGAAACTTGTCGATGTTTTCATCGGGGTCAGAGTCAAGGTGTTTATCAATGTCGCGCACCACCAAAGCCTGCTCTTGCGTCAGCACGTTGGGGTCATCACTAGCCACTAATTTAACCCCCGAATCGCGCATTACGGTTTTGAAAAATTCAGTCGACGGGTTTTTGGCGGGTTGCGAGTTTGAGGTTAGAATACCCGAACCGGGTTGCGTGGTCATTTTAGCGACTTCCACCAATTCTCGGTGATTTAAGACCGTTTATAACACGTCACTAACACATTTGCGGACTTTTTGGTTAGTTTGTTCGTCGATTTTGTATTTTTCGTTACAAAGACGACACTAATTGAATGCACCAATAGGAACGCGGTTTGCGTTCACGTGTGTGGCGCCAGTTTTAAACTAATCGATTTCAGGAAGATGCCGCCAAGCTGCTACTTTTCGAGTCTTCGCACAAAAACCAAGGCGAGAAAGTGTCTTTGAATGACTACATCGAGCGAGCGAAAGAGAGCAGGACGATTTTTTACTTGGCTGCACCAAGGTAATTGTGTTAGCTAACACAACTAAATGTTATTTTTGTGTAGTCGTAGCTTAGCGGAAGCTTCACCCTACTACGAATCTCTCAAAAGCAAACAACAGGAAGTTCTTTTCTGTTATGAACCCTACGACGAGCTAGTTTTAATGCAGTTGCAACAATTCAAAGGGTACAGGTTGGTTTCGGTTGAAAAAGACATGAGGGACGACAAAAACGCCAATGATCTTAGCAATTTGGGTACGTTTTGAGTCAGAATGATTTTTTTTGTGACTATCGTTTTTATCAGGGGAAGACAGTTTGAAGAGGAGCGAAGTGAACGAACTGTCCGACTGGATCAAGAAACAGCTGTCCGGAAAAGCGGTCGAAGTGAACGCTACGACGAGACTCGAAAATCACCCTTGTGTGGTGACAGTTGAGGAGATGGCCGCCGCCAGACATTTCATAAGGACGCAAAGCCATCAGTTGTCGGAGGATAGACGATACGCGATTTTGCAACCTAAGTTTGAGATTAATCCAAGGTTGGGGGATTTAGATATTGAGCTTTAGATAACTGGTTGATTTGTAGGCACCCTATTATTAAGAAGTTGCATAAATTAATGACCAGCGACCCGCAGTTGGCGGAACTTTTGGCTAATCAGGTAATGAAGGAAATATATTAATTTTTTATCAAGGTGTTATCGATTTTGACGCAAAGGGGTGATTCATTCAATTAACGTTGCGTCCAGGTCTTATCATATCAGAGACAACTGCGAAGTAAATCAATTTTGAATTATTTTCAAACAAAATACTATCTGTAACATGAACCTTACACTTAAGTCATGTAGTTACTCAGATACAAGTAACGAATTTTGTTTAAGTGGCGGTTTCAAAAAAATTAAATCAGATTTCCTGAAATTCCTCAAACTGATTAATTTCCACGTGATTATGTTATCACATACATGTAGATTATCAAAATCCTTTTATTGCAACACTTCGTCGTTTCTTTGGTTACATAATTTTCCACATTTAACCCGTTTGTTGTTGAAAAATCGACCCAAGCCGTCCCTGAAGTAAATTTAGTGAAATTACAAAACAAATATTTGATATAGTTGGAAACGAATCGTTGGATTTTGATTTATGGCGAATTTCGCAACCAATTTTGCTCCAGAACGATTACCTAATGTAATTTATTTCAGCTATTTGCGAACTCCATGGTGGGTGCTGGTCTGGTGGAAGACCCCCGGGTGCTCCTCACTTCCATGAACGCCCTCCTGGCCAAAACACTAGAGAAACATTAACTCCCCCCCAACCAGTGATCATTCCTATTTTTTCTAAGTGAATTTAGATGTTGGTACAATAGATAAAATTGCGTTGATGGCCTGTGAGTAAATGTGACATTAAACCATTAATAAAGAGAGTAAATAAGGCGGTGTTAATTGATTTCATAACATCATGACGCACCACATGTGATAAATTCATAAATTATGTACATCATATAATCTCTTATCACCCCCTATTATGCATCGGGGCTCGTGTAATCGATCCTGAGCACAATCCGCCTGTGGCAAGTCCTGTTGATGAGGAAAAATTCGAAATTGGCGCCAGACGCGCGCGTGCTTCGCGCCGGAAACCGCGCTGATCATGTGACAGGAGCGCCGCTTTTGTGACAATTTTAACCCCGATTTGCGACTTCTAACACAATTTTGGTTACTAAAAAATCCCGTTTTCGTTTTTGACGCTAGTTTTAGTAATGAAAGGTGTCCGCGGGGTATTTTTCCGTGTTCATGTCGCCCCCGTTGACGTGTAGTGAAAATGATGTCATCAGATAATGGCCCACGGCCCGCTCCCATTGGCCGTCGCGCGCCCTTGATTCGCAAACCGGCCAATCGCGAGCGGCTTTCCACCAGTACTCCACTAGAAAATCTCTTATCGTCATATGACCCATTGCTGCTTGTGGCAGTCGTGTAAGCCATATTTGTCAGTGACTTCGCTGGTTTCGTGTAGTCTTTTGTGAGTCGCGGTCCGTTCCAACCTGTAAATACTCCACAACCGAAAATGGTCGCAATCGGCGAAGAAAATCCAGTGTACGGGCCCTTCTTCGGGGTGATGGGGGCGGCGGCCGCTATCATCTTCAGTTGTAAGTGGAATAAACCCTTCTGTCAAGTATCGATTTTGTCCCTCGGAGCCGCTTTTCGGCCGCCGAGGCCACCAACCGCCTGGATCGCACTCAAAACAAGGTTCTAAAATAGTTTTGAGTCAGGTCTGGGCTAGCTGGGCCGCCCATGGGCGTTGCGCGGGTCGCCTGCCAAAGGCAGGACCGGATCGATCGCTTGCGCCCCCGAGAGAAAAAGCCCGAAAACGGGACACCCGCGCGAGGGTAACCCAGTTTGCGGGTCACATGCCTGGACCCACCCTGACTCACCAACAACCAACGAACCCATTTAATAATACCATATTACCATAATCATCACCATCATTAGTATCACTATTAGGTATCGTAGGACAAAATCGAAAACCTGAACCCTATTTTTCGCAGACCCTCTCATTCCGGGTGTCAAGCAGGCGACGCCTGTCACTCTTAACACCGTCACGTGACCCCTCAAAATTATCCGTTTTTTGGCGATTTTGGTTTTGAACAGGTGGGTGTAACTAACCACCTGAGAAGCATGTGACTTCAAGGTTTGCACCAAGTCACGTGAATTTCAATACCGAGTTGCATAACCTAGAATTCGGTTGATATTGAGGGGAGACAAGAGCATTTCAACCCAAACAGATTAGTCATGTACGCAATTGTTTGGCCCGTCTGACAAAAATAAATAATTGCGGTGGGTGGCAGAGTGCCAATAATGCGTGTATTGACACCTGGAGCAAATCCTCTGCATTCAGATGGGGTGTTAGGTCGGGCGCAACAACGTTGCAACGGCTAGATTAGATAAGGCGTCATGTGATTGAGGTCTATTGTCTCTAGATTTTGATAAAGTGGGTACTTTGGGGTTTGTGGGGGCGCAAAATGGGTTACACTAATGGTGTAGTGGGCCATGAAAAAAACAAGGACGCTAGAAATGTGAAATTGTTACGTCACGATTTACGACCTTACTAAAGTCCAAATTGGTATCCAGTCCATGAAAATTGTTACCACGTGATTCAATCAGGTTATAGTAAAGTTTTTACACATTATGATTCAAATAGGGATTTCCAATTGACAGCTGGTGCACGTATTTTATTCAGAAATAACGATTTCATTGTCTTGTAGTTGTCAACAAGCTGTCATTTCTTACCAAATAAATTATGTTGACACTAGACCACAGTTGCATGAAATTTTATATGGAAAGATAAAGACCTGATTGTCTTATCGGACAAGTTTACTTCGTGTTCCACTAATTTAGACATTGTTCCAAATTGTATCGGGCACAATTGAGCATTTGTTGCCAGGGATAAGTAATGACTTCTCAGTCTCAAGTAAAGTTAAGAGTAATCGGTTCAGTAGTTTCGGAGATGAACTATCAGCGCCAATAAAAGACGGACGGAAATGGGCAGCGTATATTTTCGTTTTTTATGAGTTGTGAAATGCCAAGAACACATAAAATTAGACACTGAAAAAGATGACCCCATTACTTATGTCTTAGTTTCAATTCAAAATGATTTATTTTTTTAAGTCATATTGGAAAATGAGTTTTAATTTTTCCTTTTAGTTTTCGAGAAAACAATTGTAGTCTTACATTAAAAATAGAAAGTTGGAGCGAGCAACTGCCACACCACTTTCGAATCTATTTTTGCACCCTACTTAACTTGGTTTTAAAATTATCATTTACCAATACAACTAATGTGTGTTTGTTCTCTCTGAATAATCGAATCTGATAAGTACCTCGAGCTTTCTTCCGATACCCGTCAAGAATGTGCATACTAATATTCCGTTGCAGTTTTATTTATTCACGTTCATACTTCCTCATGGTCATTACTCATTACTTAATCTATTTGTTGTCTATTGACATAAATTTATCGCGAAAGTCAACTCAAGACACTCATCCAACTTTTTTTTATCAAATTAAACACACTTTATTCCCACCCAAAACTGATACGCCTTTGTTTTTATTTCGAAACAGAATTGGATCGGACTCAAATATTTCCGTAGCAGAAATTTTCACTCATTTATGAATCGCCGAAACCCTTGCAATTGATGGTTCGACTATTCAAAAACCTATCTTCGATTTTTGTTGTTATTTCGGGGCGCCTGAAATAGTTAAAAGTGACAGTGACCTTCATTCCAATAGTTGCATGCCGCTTAAAATACCCATGCACTAGGAAAGGTTCCCCGTGCACCCAAACCATGCCGCGTTTTTTGTTATTATTAATACGTCGTCCGTATTTATTTTTAAATTGCTTTATGTTGCAATAAATAAGCGTGCGCGCTTTTTACACATCGCGTCTCGGTTCAGGGCTGTAATTATAAATTTTATGCTCTCACTATATTTAACTCGTTTATCCTTCGGGATTGTAATTGTAACTATTTTCTAAGCAGGCGGGGTTGTAACAAAATGGTTTTGTTTTTCAGCCCTAGGAGCCGCCTACGGGACGGCGAAATCAGGCACCGGTATAGCAGCCATGTCGGTGATGAGGCCAGAACTTATTATGAAATCTATAATCCCTGTTGTCATGGCGGGTATCATTGCCATCTACGGTCTAGTTATTGCTGTCCTTATTGCCGGAGGTATTGGCCCAGCGAGCGAAGAATACACGTTATACAAGTAAGTAATTGGGTTTTGGCTAATAGGAACGGTGGGTTCGTTATTCACAAGTGGCTAACTTGGCTTTTGGAAATGAAATAAAATTAATAATGACTAATCTCGGGGACTCGGGGACAATATTATCTTCTTAGTGTTTCTTTAAAATTTGATAAACAAAAACATTAAAATTGATGGTTTTGTGTTACGATTATTATTAATGATGATAAAAATATTTTATCTGAGTATATTTCATGGGTGGACAAAATCTGAACAATGTACATCCATTTCAAGTAACAACGTTGGAAAGGCGATTATTAAAGATCGAGTTGGTTTTCAATTTTCGGAATTTTTTTTTTTAACTTTTTTGATAGGCAACCAATATTTCAGCTCTAATTGTACATTTGCTACCTATTTCAACTTTTATAAATCCAAATTTAAGTATGTTTTGTTATGTTTTCAACGCATTTTAAAGTTCGATTAACCCAAAATTGTTAATGTTTTGCGACCAAGAGTTGCTAACTGTTCGTTTTTATCTTAATTCTGTTCTTTTAGTTCTTAAATTCTTTCTTGGAGAATATTTAGGAGTTTATAGAAATGGGATCACCAAAATCAGATTTCTTTACAGCACAGTTTATATCAGAATTGCAACAAAGCCACTATATTCTATAGATTTTCAGTTTGAGGACTCATAAAAAGGCTTTTTTTATTTTTCGTCACTTGTATTATACGTATGAACACCTTTAGAATCGGTTTCAATCATGTTTGTAATGTTTGTTAAACTTTTTTTTTAAATATGTAGCTAAAACGTCATACATCAGGTTGGCTTTGAAATTTCGTATATTTTGCCGTTTTGCGACGAAACTCATGGAAATTAAAAATGAGAGAGTTAAAACAAAAATTGAAAGTTTTACAAAAAATCAGCTTGAATAATTATTAGGCTAAATTAAAACAAAGTCACTTCTGGCTTCCTTTCTTCGATGACTTAAACCGTTTTTCCAGAATCGTCCATTGAAATATCGCAATTTTCGAAAATTTCAAAAAATCCTAATTTTACACCGAATTTTCCGGAAATATTGCTCCGGTACCGTAAGCATGCTATATTTTTGGAGTCAGCACGTCTCTGAATTTTTTCAGAATTTTTAGACAACTTTTCCAAAAGTGAAATTTTACACTATGGTAGTACTTTTTGTTTTTTAAATTTTACATTTTCAATTTTTCCATTTTTCAACTTCTCGATTTCTCCATTGTTTGATGTTTCGGTTTCTCGATGTTTCAATTTTTCAATTTCGATATTTCAGTTTTTGCGATTTTTCGATTTCTCGAATTTCCAGTTTTTAGAATTTTCAATTTTTCGCCATTTCGGTTTTGGGATTTTTTAATTACCCGATTTTTCAAATTTTCGGTTCTCCATTTTTTCGATTTTTTAAATTTTGGATTTCGATTCCTAGTCTTTTTAGTGTTTAGATTTTTTTAAATTTTACATTTTGTTTTTTCCATATTTCAATTTTACCATTATTTTTAAGTTTGTATGTTTCAATTTTGAATTTTTCGATTTTGGGTAATTTCGACTTCGCAATTTTTCGATTTTTTGATTTTCCAATTTTTCGAATATTCACTTTTCCAATTCTTCAATTCTTAGATTCTTCAATTTTTTGATTTGGGAAATTTTAGATTTTAAATTTTTTAAGTTTAAATGTTTCAATTTTGAATTTTTTGATTTCTCAATGTTTCAATTTTTCGACATCTCAGTTCTGGGGTTAAACATTTAATTCTTCGAGTTTCCGATTTCTCAATTTTTTGATTTTTTACTTTTGTGATTTTTCAGAACTTCCCTTTTTTAAATTTTAGATTTTTAATGTTTCGATTTTTTGATGTTCTGATTTCTTGATTTTTCATTCACTTTTTCGATTTTTGTATGTTTCAATTTTATAAAATTTTAAATTTCTTTTTTTACTTTTTGATATTTTTATTTCCCGATCTTTAGACTTCTCTCTTTTACATTTTTCGTTTTTTCTGTTTTTCGATTTTGGGTAATTTCGATTTCACGATTTTTCGATTTTCCGGCTTCTCATTTTGCGATTTTTCAACTTTTCGATTTTCCAATTTTTCGACATTTCAGTTTTATGATTTTTTTCTCGAATTTTCAGTTTTTCAATGCTTTAAATTTTACATTTTCGATTTTTCCGTTTTTCGATTTTTAATGTTTCGAATCTCCAATTTAAAATAATAGGCTAGTATTTGCCAAAATAAGACTCATTTTGACAAACGACCTACTCTTCTAAGAAAAGGTACTAGCCCCGCCCACCCACCCTTTATTTTCTTAGAAGGTAAGTCATCTGCCAAAATCAATCTTATCTTGGCAAGTAAGAAAATAAGGGTGGGTGGGCGGGGTCAGTACTTGTCAAGATGAGACTGATTTTGGCAGATGACCCACTCTTCTAAGAAAACAAAGGGTGGGTGGGCGGGGCTAGTACTTGTCAAGATGAGACTGATTTTGGCAAATGACATATCCTCTAAGAAAATACGGGAGGGTGGGCGGGGGCTAGTACTTGTTAAAAATAAAAATATGTACTTAAAAATTAAAAATCACAAATTGAAAACTCGGATAAATGAGAAATCGGAAAATTGTACAACTGTTTAATCGGAAAATCAAAATCAAAAATTGAAAAAAAAACACACATCTTGTAAAATCGAATTCGAAATTCCAGTTTTCATTTTTTTTTTTTTTGTTTTTAGATTTTTCAACTTTTGAATAGTTCATTTGATAATTTGTTTGACAATTTTGCAGTTTTTAACTCCATTTTGATTTTTCAAGTTCTCAAGTTAAAATTTTTCCTTTTCACGATTTGACATTTTTCGATTTTTTAACAAACAAATTCATTGGAACTAAAATTTTGAAAAATCGAAAATTAGAAACAGAATTTTCAGATGTTTTAAAGTTACGGTAAATATGGCAATCTCTGATCAAAATTGCTTTTTACTCCCGTCCAAAAACTCGGTGACAAAAAATCAAAAATCGAAAATTTAAAAAAATAAACGTCCATTTTCTCGATATTTTTTAAAATCGAAAGACAGATCAAAAAATTGAAAATTTAAAATGGGAGAAATTGAAAAATTCGAAAGTTGGAAAATCGAAAAACTGAAAAATCTAGTAGTACTCGCTACGATAAGACTGATTCTGGCAAATGATTTCTCTAAGAAAACAAAGGGTGGGTGGGTGGGGCTAGCACTTGCCAAATAACCTATCCTCTAAGAAAATAAAAGGCGGGTGAGCCAGGCTGGTATTTACCAAAATAAGACACATTTTGACAAACAACCTACTCTTCTAAGAAAGGGTACTAGCCCCGCCCACCCACCCTTTATTTTCTTAGAAAAGTAGGTCATCTGCCAAAATCAGTCTTATCTTGGCAAGTATGAAACTAATTTTTGCAAATGACATATCCTCTAAGAAAATAAGGGTGGGTGGGCGGGGCTAGTACTTGTCAAGAAAAGACTGATTTTGGCAAATGACATTTCTTCTAAGGGACGGTGGGCGGGGGGCTAGTACTTGTTAAAAATAAAAAACTTAAAAATCTAAAAATGCAAATTGAAAACTCGGATAAATGAGAAATCGGAAAATTGTACAACTGTTTAATCGGAAATTCAAAATCAAAAATAGAAAAAAAAAACAAATCTTATAAAATCGAATTCCAAATTCCAGTTTTCATTTTTTTTTTTTTTTGTTTTTAGATTTTTCAACTTTTGACTATTTCATTTGATAATTTGTTTGACAATTTGCAGTTTTTAATTCCAATTTTTTGATTACTCAAGTTCTTAAGAAGATAGGTCATCTGCCAAAATCAATGGTATTTTGGGAAGTATGAAACTAATTTTTGCAAATGACATATCCTCTAAGAAAATAAGGGTGGGTGGGCGGGGCTAGTACTTGTCAAGAAAAGACTGATTTTGGCAGATGACCCACTCTTCCAAGAAAACAAAGGGTGGGTGGGCGGGGCTAGTACTTGTCAAGATGAGACTGATTTTGGCAAATGACATCCTCTAAGAAAATAAGGGAAGGTGGGCGGGGAGCTAGTATTTGCCAAGATAAGGCTGATTTTAGTAGATGACTTATTCTTCTAAGAAAGTAAAGCCTGGGTGGGTGGGGCTAGTACTTGCGAAAAATAAAAAAAACTAAAAAATCTAAAAATTGCAAATTGAAAAATCGGATAAATGAGAAATCGAAAAATTGAAAAAAAAACAAAATCTTACAAAATCGAATTCGAGATTCCAGTTTTCATTTTTTTTTTAGTTTTTAGATTTTTCAACATTTCATAATTTGTTTTACAATTTTGGAATTTTTTGATTTTTAATTTTCTAAATTCTCAAATTAAAATGTTTCCTTTTCACGATTTGTTGTTTTTCGATTTTTTAACAACAAACAAATTTATTGGAACTGAAATTTTGAAAAATCGAAAAATCGAAAAATTGAAAATTAGAAACAAAATTTTCAGATGTTTTAAAGTTACGGTAAACATGGCAATCTCTGATCAAAATGGCTTTTTGCTCCCTTCCAAAAACTCGGTGACAAAAAATCAAAAATCGAAAAAATAAACATCTTGGCAAGTATGAAACTAATTTTTGCAAATGACATATCCTCTAAGAAAATAAGGGTGGGTGGGCGGGGCTAGTACTTGTCAAGATAAGACTGATTTTGGCAGATGACCCAGTCTTCCAAGAAAACAAAGGGTGGGTGGGCGGGGCTAGTACTTGTCAAGATGAGACTGATTTTGGCAGATGACTCATTCTTCTAAGAAAGTAAAGCCTAGGTGGGTGGGGCTAGTACTTGCTAAAAATAAAAAACCTAAAAATCTAAAAATGACAAATTGAAAAATCGGATAAATGAGAAATCGAAAAATTAAAAAAAAAACAAAATCTCATAAAATCGAATTCGAAATTCCAGTTTTCATTTTTTTTTTTTTAGTTTTTAGATTTTTCAACATTTAATAATTCGTTTTACAATTTTGGAATTTTTTAATTTTTCAAGTTCTCAAGGTAAAATGTTTCCTTTTCACGATTTGTCATTTTTCGATTTTTTAACAACAAACAAATTTATTGGACATGAATTTTTGAAAAATCAAAAATCCAAAAATTGAAAATTAGAAACAAAATTTTCAGATGTTTTAAAGTTACGATAAACATGGCAATCGCTGATCAAAATTGCTTTTACTCCCTTCCAAAAACTCGGTGACAAAAAATCAAAAATCGAAAATTTAAAAAAATAAACATCTATTTTCTCGATATTTTTAAAAATCAAATAATTGAGAAATCGGAAAACTGCCAAAATTGTAAAATTAAAAAACCGAAAGAGATCAAATAATTGGAAATTTAAAAAGCGAGAAACTGAAAAATTGGAAAGTTGCAAAATCGAAAAACTGAAAAATCTAGTAGTACTCGCTACGATAAGACTGATTTTGGCAAATGATCGACTCTCTAAGAAAACAAAGGGCGGGTGGGTGGGGCTAGCACTTGCCAAATAACCTATCCTCTAAGAAAATAAAAGGCGGGTGGGGCATACTAGACCTACTCTTCTAAGAAAAGGTACTAGCCCCGCCCACCTACCCTTTATTTTCTTAGAAAAGTAGGTCATCTGCCAAAATCAATCTTATCTTGGCAAGTATGAAACAGATTTTTGCAAATTACATCCCCTAAGAAAATAAGGGTGGGTGGGCGGGGCTAGTACTTGTCAAGATGAGACTGATTTTGGCAAATGACATATACACTAAGAAAATAAAGGAGGGTGGGCGGGGCTAGTACTTGCTAAAAATAAAAAAACTTAAAAATCTAAAAATGACAAATTGAAAAATCGGATAAACGAGAAATCGAAAAATTGAAAAAAAAAACAAAATTCAGATGAATTTTTACAAAACTTGGTGTTGTCACAAAACCACTATATTTCTATAGATCTCCAATTTGAGGCCCCAGCAGGACACCTTTCTTTTATTTTACTTGTCACTTAACAGCTGTGCTTAATGTAATGTTAAATTATACGACGAAATCCAGAAGGCATAAATAACTTTTTTTTTTTTTTTTTGGAGAATTAAATTTATTAAAAAAATTAATTTTATTTTTGTGTTTTAGGGGTTTCGTGCATTTGGGTGCCGGTCTCGCAGTAGGCTTCTCTGGTCTGGCGGCCGGTTTCGCCATCGGCATCGTAGGTGATGCAGGTGTCCGAGGAACGGCCCAGCAGCCCCGTCTCTTCGTAGGCATGATCCTCATCCTCATTTTCGCAGAAGTATTGGGTCTTTACGGTCTCATCGTCGCCATCTACCTCTACACAAAATAAGTTAATCGTTTTCTTTTTTTAAGTGTAAAACAGAGCAGATTCATCCTTTCAAATCCAGTCCCCTGTACTGTCATAGTAGAGTTTCCCCCATAACCTGATTTTTCGAAATGTTATCTCCTTCATCCTATTTTTAATGTTTATTGTATAAAAAGATGTATAAAACCGTGTTGTAAGCTTTGATGAATTTGACGGACGAGGCATAGAAGGTGTAAATATTTTATTGTGATGGAACTCGTATGACGATGCGGGTCCTGTCATTGTAAATAATTTGGACTGGGCTTGAATCATGCTACATTGGCTGTCATGTTCATAAAGGGTTACGCCTTGATAAATTAATTATTGTATAGTTATTAGTAGTTTGTTAGGTTAATCATTTCATAATATGCGATTTAAGGGTCTACGACTCTGAGTATTTAAAGTTACAAAGAATAAAGTTACAAAAGTAGCACAATTATTTTTAATTTCATGGGCATGTTCGAGATTTGTTGAGCCTTATAGACCTACAGTAGCGTTCTGTTCTTTTAAATTCTACATATCATTGCCAACTTTGTTAATTAAGTGTTTGTTCCTTAGCAGAGTATGATGTTCACACTATTGTATCGAGATTGCTCACGTTTCTTTGCGTTCGTCGTTTGACCTTCCATTAATCAGGCGCAGTGTTGACAGTTTGTAATTAAACAATAATAATAAATACAGTTGTTGTAAATAATGGCAACATTATCTATGTATCGATCGATGGTTTGGTGTCCATAGTTATACGTGTTAGCCTTCTCTGTAGCCTAGGACACTTGGGGGCGCGGCTGTGAACTGCCCTTAACACACAACCCAGTCCAGAGCCGCGCCCTTGCGTCTATAACCTAAACATGTTGATAGTATTTTTTTTCTCGTCATTATACTTTCTTCTAGTACGCAGCACCGGGCTTGGCGGCTGGGGGAGTGTCGACGACTCCAGCCGTCTGTCTTTTAGGTTCGAAATGTAGAAATGCCTCTGTTGTAAGAAGGGAACAGCAAAATTATGTTGAAAATAAATAATTTGTACATTCCATTACAATTTTTGTTGTGTAAATTTTATTTTGTTTTTCTTTTGTCCGCTATTAGACTTGTTTATGTACAGTTTTAACGAAATATATGGCTTCGATTTATAATCAGACCGTTTAATCGTTATCTTCGCATACGTTTGGCCTAAGCTTGTAAGTTTTTCAAAAAAAAAAAGATATTCGAAAATACATGTAGTCCCGTTATGCTAAATGATTTTTTTTTCTTTGTGTTGATGAGAATACAAGTTATTTTGTTAATGTTGAAGATGGTTGTTTTTTTAACCCTTCATTGTGTTAAGGCAGGTTTACTAGGTCTAAAATTCCACAGTAAAACCGATTTTTAAAACCTGCCGAATTTCGATATTACAAAAGCTTGATTTTTCATTGAACCCTTTTTCGCTTAACTGTTTATTACTTGGAGGACTGTGGCGATTGAAACGTCATCTAAGAGAAAACAAGGAATTTGTTGACAAGAAGTCGAGGACAGTAATGTAGCGAAGTAGAGTCGAAAAACTTCGAGAAGAACACGTGATGCTTCGTGGTTCATATTCTTCTCACGGCATTTCCACTCTAAATTGCGTCTACTTGAGTACGTCGAATTCTGTTTTTAATTTCAGGCCTATATAATAGTAATTTTGAGTGTTGTTTCTGTCTGTAAATAATTGTATACTAAAAAATAGCAAAAGTATTGTCTACGCATACCTTAACGTTGCCTTAACCACATCCTTACAAAATATTTAACCAGAAAAAATCAACAATCCTTCGAGAACATTGATGTAGCAGAGATTAATTCTCATTGAGGTTATGTTGCAAACAGGTAATTTAGTTTGTTCGAGAAGATGCCGATATAGTTGCGAAACGTCTCGACCTTGGCCTCAAAAAAAAACAGGTTATAGTTACCTCATTTTTTATCTGGTATTACTTGCTGACAGCCATTGTGTTGTCAACTGGTGGTAAATAGAATTATACAGAATGTCCCAAAGTTCTGCTGAAAAAATTATTTATCGAAGAATGAAGACCTAGAATTTGACATTAATTTCAATTATACAGAATGTTTCGTTTTAAATTTGCATTTTTAAAATGTGATACCTGATAGTCGCTACGCGTAGTTTTCGAAAGCTGTATGGTTCTTTAAGAAGCACACACTCAAATTACTTTCAACTATACAGAGTGTTGTGTTTTTAAAGCGTAACAAACAACTTGGTTTTTTCAAATGGCACTCTCTATATTTTGATTAGACAGATAATCTCCGAAAGTACTAGCCGAGTGTTGTCAAATTTTGTATTTATATTAGGAATATCATGTAGATGGTAACACGCTAACCAAAATTTGTCTAATCATCCCCACCAATAATGTAATGACGTCACTTCGAAATTGTAAGTACATATAAAATGGGTTTTAAATTGAATAAAATAACATAGTCCTACACATGTAGTTTATGACCTCGAATTGAGTTTTTACCCAAAACGTCCAGATTTTTGGAAAAAATCAAAATTATGAAACAACATTTTGCAATTTAATTTTAAATCTGCCAAACCGAATGCTTTGAAATCTTGCAGATGTTTTCAAGTTATTGTAAGCATAGTAATATTTAAAATCAAAATGTATTGAATAAACCAACAATGGCAAAAATGAATACATACTTCGAAATCTTGCAGATATTGTAAAGTTATTATCTATAACGTTATCTAACCAAAAATCTAAAAAAAATAAGTCTTATCTTAGCAAATACTAACATTTTGGCAAATGACATACTTTTTAAGAAAATGGAGGGCGGGTGAAGGGGGCTAGTATTTGCTAAGATGAGATTTATTTAGGCAAATGACATATTCTCTGAGAAAATAGGGGGGGGTGGGCGGGGCTAGTACCTGCTACGATAAGACTTATTTTGGAAAATAACATACCCTCTGAGAAAATAGGGGGTGGGTGGGCGGCCCTAGTACTTGCTAAGCTAACACTTCTTTTGGCAAATGACATATCCTCTGAGAAAATAGGTGGCGGGTGGGCGGGGCTAGTACTTGCTAAAAAAAATCAGTCAATTTATTTTATTGAATAAATCAACAATTGGAAAACTAAATACTTTGAAGTCTTGCAGACGTTGTAAAGTTATTGTAACCATGGTAAATTGCTAATTAAAATAGAACTGTTTATTCCCCCCAAAAAATTGATGACGTCATCGCAAAATTTTCCCGAATTAATTGTATCCAAAATGTGCAAAATATGATCGGTTTTTACTTGTGATTTATCATTGCATTCATATTTTTTAGATTTGCTTAAACGGGTGGCTTAAAAAAAAAATGAATGAGTCATTTTTTTATTGATTAAATCAGGAACGGCTCACTCCATTTTCCTAGAAAATTTTGGGAATACAATACTGTTATTTTCAGTTTTCATTTTACATTAAATAAAATAAGTCAGTGAAATCGAGAAAGAAGGTGGACGGGGTGAATTTAGCTTTTTTCTAGTTTTATGAGCAAGCAGTAGGCCCGCCCACCAACCCAGTGACTACTCGTAATATTGTTCAGTCCTATCTTAGTAAGTTTTAGCCCCGCCCACCCACCCTTTTTTAATTAGAGGATATAAACTGGAATTTCGAATTCGATTTTATAAGATTTGTTTTTTTTTTCAATTTTTCGATATTTCAGTTTTTTTCCGATTAAACAGTTGTACAATTTTCCGATTTCTCAATTTGTCATTTCTAGATTTTTAAGTTTTTTTATTTTTAGCAAGTACTAGCCTCACCCACCCAGGCTTTACTTTCTTAGAAGAATGAGTCTTCTGCCAAAATCAGTCTTATCTTGACAAGTACTAGCCCCGCCCACCCACCCTTTGTTTTCTTGAAAGAGTGGGTCATCTGCCAAAATCAGTCTCATCTTGACAAGTACTAGCCCCGCCCACCCACCCTTATTTGCTTAGAGGATATGTCATTTACAAAAATCAGTTTCATACTTGCCAAGATAAGATTGATTTTGGCAGATGACCTACCTTCTAAGAAAATAAAGGGTGGGTGGGCGGGGCTAGTACCTCTTCTTAGAAGAGTAGGTCGTTTGCCAAAATGAGTCTTATTTTGGCAAATACTAGCCTGGCTCACCCGCCTTTTATTTTCTTAGAGGGTAGCTTATTTGGCAAGTGCTAGCCCCACCCACCCACCCTTTGTTTTCTTAGAGAAATCATTTGCCAAAATCAGTCTTATCGTAGCGAGTACTAGTAGATTTTTCAGTTTTTCGATTTTTCAACTTTCGAACTTTTCAATTTCTCGCTTTTTAAATTTTCAATTTTTTGATCTGTCTTTCGATTTTAAAAAATATCGAGAAAATAGATGTTTATTGTTTTAAATTTTCGATTTTTGATTTTTTGTCACCGAGTTTTTGGAAGGGAGTAAAAAGCAATTTTGATCAGCGTTTGACATGTTTACCGTAGTTACGGTTTTAAAGTTTTAAAGCATCTGAAAATTTTGTTTTTAATTTTCAATTTTTCGATTTTTCAAAATTTCAGTTCCAAGGAATTTGTTTGTTGTTAAAAAATCGAAAAATGACAAATAGTGAAAAGGAAAAATTTTGATTGATTTTTAAGTTTTTTTATTTTTAGCAAGTACTAGCACCACCCTCCCTTATTTTCTTTGAGGATATGTCATCTGCCAAAATCAGTCTCATCTTGAGAAGTACTAGCCCCGCCCACCCACCCTTTGTTTTCTTGGAAGAGTGGGTCATCTGCCAAAATCAGTCTCATCTTGACAAGTATTAGCCCCCCCCCCCCTCTGTTTTCTTGGAAGGTAAGTCGTTTGCCACAATCAGTCTTATCTTAGCAAGTACTAGCGCCTTTCTAGGGTTTATAACCAATTTGTTTTTAATTCCATTGCTATGTTGCCATGTTATTCCAAATTTCTTAAATTTTTTTTAATCCTAGGGTTCATAAAAAAATCGTCAGTAGGATTATTTTTAAAATCTGTGATGCAATATTTTGTGAATCTGATTATACAGAGTGTAAAGATTCATATTTCCGCCATACGGACAAAAACAAAAAATAGAGTAAAAAGAAGTAATAAAATATAGGTGTTCTATTTGAAAAGACTGAAATATCAATATTTTAACATTCTATACTTTTATAAACACCCTGTATATTAAAATTTTATTTAATGGATACCACAATAAAACACGTACTTCTGTTTATCTCGCCATAAAATATTGCAACACAGATTTTAAAATTAACACTATGGGAATTTTTTTGTGCTAAAAAAATCAAGGAAATTGGAATAACGTGGCAACATCGCAACGGTAGAATATTAAATATACTGTATTCCATAAAAAAAACCTAACTTAAGCTAACTCAAAAAGAAACACTCTGTATCTCTTTAATATTTAATTACATAGATGTCGACAATCACACGCTTAATGACTCTCCCTGTATATATTTTAATTGACTTAATCGTTGTAGGTTTTGTAGCCGTAATTTAATTTTGAAATTCCGTTGTGACGTTGCCACATTATTCCAATTTTCCTGAATTTCTTATCTACAGTAGCGGTCATTTCTACGGAACCACTCGATAAAAAGTCAAGTTGGTAGCCCTGTCACCTAGTACTTTACGCCGAACGCGGTTGGTAGCGGTAGTTGACATGGCAATCGAAACTAGCACAACACGAATGTTTCGGTTGCCCTCAGCTATGCCGCACTGTATCCCGTGCAGACTGTATGTTCTGTTCATCTATTTATTAAAATAAAATATCTACATTGACAATGGGGCCATCTAACCTGTCAAATTTTTGACACATATGTTTTCCCCCAGAAACCTGTCAAGGTCACTTACACCAAACAAATTTTGAAAATTTACACTAGGGAGTGGTTCTATAGAAAAGATCGCGACTTTACTCTAAAACATTGCATTTTTCAAACATCGATAGAAAATATTTTATTGCTTAACAAAACAAAAAAGAGAGAGAATAAAAGCAGAGTAAGAATAAAATATTTGGAAATTGTAATATTTTATATTGATAAAAAATTTCAAGAAAATTGGAACAACGTGGCAACATTGCATCGTAATTTCTTTATTTAAGAAAATAAGTCATGTGTTAAGTCTCAAAAATAGAACACTCTCTATAGTTGAAAATAATTTTAATGTTACGGCTTTTTAGTCCCGACTTTTTTTATTTTCAATAATTAATGAGGTATCGAGTTAGTGACTCACGCTGTATATTTTCAGAGATTTTCAGAATTATTTATACAATATATTTTCAACATATTTGTGTTTATTATGTGTAAAGTGGCCATATTTAATAATAGTAATATTTTTAAGTCAGCCATGTTTCAAGATGGAGGTCTGAAATTTTGCACAAAACTTTTTAGTTTATTTCCCTCGACAGGCGTCTGAAAAAGGGACAATCATTTTAATTTGTTATACAGGGTGATTAAATTTGTAAATCTTGAGTTCTGTCAAATACGTTGTTATAAATACGATATTTTTTGATATTGCGGGATACTTTTTTAATTATGGTAAATTTAGGTTAAGAAAAATAAGAAAATGGATTGTGTGTAACATGATCTGAAAAAGTATCTTTCTGTGGATAAAATAAAAACGTAATGAAGCTGTAATTGCCTTCTTAATGAGATTTAAAATGTTCTTAGAATTTCCAACAATTTAAGTATTTTCTTTAATCATGGAATAATTTTACTAACGCTTTTATTTGTGTTTAGAAATTTTTAAAATTTTGTTGACAGTGTTCGCAACTATGTGAATCGTAAACTCAAAAACTACATGTCTATAAATCTTTATTACATTCTTTTGGTAACACACAACATTTTAATCTACTCAAATCCTCAGATTTCGATTTCGGCAAGAAGTTGATCCAGCCCCAACTGCAAAAAAATTCTCACAAACCGAAAATTCACGATTCACCCTACTCACGGCTTTTCCCTCCTTGGCAGCACACGTGGCCAAACTAGCAGCATAATCGCAAGAGTCGCTCTCCACGGGGGCTAAAAAAACAGCATTATCCTCAAACCACCCCAAAATAATCACTCACTTCCTTCGCAGTTCTTGAAAACCGTCACCATTTTGTTGTACACGTCCTCGTCTTGCTCTTTTAGGGGCTCTAGAGCTTTAGCTGCCCCGTCTTTATCGATAGAGCCGTCTTCGTTTTGCTACAGTGTTTTATGTAAATATGAAAAATTTTCAAAAAAAAAATGGACTTACGATGTGGAAGTTCTTGTGGAAACAGAAAATCAAGCATTTGCCTTCGTGCGATTCCGGGATGTTGTGGGACAGGAGGACCTTGATGTCGTCTAGATTTAGAACGGGTTAGGGTTTGAAATTGAATACACTTATTACTATTTTTATTATTATTACCTTCACTAGCGGAGACTTCTTTGATACAAGTTTCCCCGACTTTCTTAACTTCTGCCACAAATTTGTCAATGAAGTCTTTGTCCAACTATGAGACAACTATTACTTTTAAATATAAAAATATTTAAAAACTTACAGCATTTGCGGCGAAGAAAAGTGTTGCCAAAACTAGGAGGGTTTTCATTTTTTTTGTAGCTGTACACGGTGATTTTGAAATGAGACTGATGACAGTTGCTCAGTCGTCTCATTTTATATTATTTTTGTAATCGGTGGAGGTCGCTCAAGGTGTACTTTTTTTTAAATTGATTATGAAACTAGACGTAAATAATAGACATTGTTTCCTCAATCAGCGTATGTTTCTGACCAATTAGTGTAATAACACCTTAGATGTAATTATCGAACACAAGTGAACGTCGAAAATTTGTAAAAATAATGAAGTAAATTAGTGTTTGGCGACATGCGATGGGTAAAAAGTGTACAGTTTCCGCGTAGTCTTTATTATGGAAGGTTACTGGAAGTGTATGAGTTGTCAAAAACACTTTATTATCATATAAATGTCATAGTTTTTTCGTAAAGGTATACATAGTTGTGTAATGTTTATTTCACCTACCCTGTATCAGTTTTTGATTTCGTTGCATGTTAAAACAGGTTGTCGCGTTTATAATTATCAATTAATTAAAATCTTGTTTCTGTCAAACTATGACTCAACGTAATCTTTAAATATGTAAAAATAAAAGAAACAAATATATTTCAAGGTTAAAAATGGGATTCGATTTTGATCTTGTAAAACCTAAGATGTTAAAGAAATAAACGAATTTTTTCAGCACCAATGTTAAGGGTAAGTTTTACGTATACCTAATATCAGAGAAGATACAACTAGAAATTTGAGCGAAAAAGCCCCTTAATGACGACTCTTTTCAACATAGGTAGGTACACTTTAAACTTCCTTGATAGGAAAATTCATTTAGATGGATCATGTCAATTAAACATGCTTTTTTGTAATGAATTTTGACTTTGTGTACTCTTTGCTCAAGCATAAGCAAAATGCGTGGTGTTGATGACAAAAGTTGCCGCTTCTCTGATATTCTATAGTTTTCTCAGTAGTTACACCGAAAATTTCTCTTTTTTCTCAAATAAGGAAAGTAATACAACAGATTTTAAAAATCGCAAAAAATGAAAATAAGTTTGTGCTTTTACTTCTTTACATATGTTGGCAGAACTGCAACAGTTGGTATCTATCTAAGAAATATTCACTTGAGAAACTTCAAATAATCGTCCATAGAATATCCTCCCTTGTAGGGTTTTCTATATCCACAACTTAAAAAAGCCATGACCTAAACATTACATAACCACACTTCTTGACAGAAAAGAAAATAAATAGCGACTTCTCTCAGAATTAAATGACATAAGTAGAGTCGACTCGGGTTGCACGTGTCCACCTTGCAACCGACCTTCAAGAATTTCCCTAGTGTAAACGTCAGTGTTTCATGAAAAAGGGGACCGTCGATTTTTTTGTCTCTGTTCATTGTAACGTGTGATTATGGTTTCTGGTAATATTTGTGAGATTATGACGTTAGAGTTACTGTTGTCACTGTAAGCTGTCATCAATGTCCCTTATTTTCTATTTCTTAATTGTTCATGAATAGTAAATCATGAAAAGAAACATTACAGCATGAAAATTAAAGTCAGTAAAAGAGAAGTAAATTAAATAATTAGTGAAATAAGCTAAGTAGTGAACGTAGCGCTGCCAACAGTTCAGTTACGAAGTTCCTAGTTTTTTCATTATATAGGAAACACTACAAGAGATTTTAATACTAATAATAATAATTAAAAAATGAAAATGCTGTTTGTCTTGTTCCAACTTTGCAAAACTATCCAAATTTCAGTAATTATTTTTCTTCTTATTGTTTATATTAGAAAACATATCATATCTTGCGTTGTGTTGGCAGATCTGAAACAGTTGGTAACAATTTAGAAAATATTCACTCAAGAAACTTTAAAGAATCGTCAAAGTTCAAACTCGGAAGAACCCATATCCATAGAATATCCTCCCTTGTAGTGTTTGCTATATCCACAACTTAAAAAAGCGATTACCTAAACATGACATAACCACACTCCTTGACAGAAAAGAAAATAAATAGCGACTTCTCTCAGAATTAAAGAACGTAAGTAGAGTCGACTCGGGTTGCACGTGTCCACCTTGCAACCGACCTTCAAGAATTTCCCTAGTGTAAACGTCAATGTTTTATGAAAAAGGGGACCGTCAATTTTTTTGTCTCTGTTCATTGTAACTTGTAAATATGGTTTCTGGTAATTGTAAATCATGAAAAGAAACATTACAGAATGAAAATTAATGTCAGTAAAAGAGAAGTAAATTAAATAATTAATGAAATAAACTAAGTAGTGAACGTAGCGCTGCCAACAGTTCAGTTACGAAGTTCCCAGTTTTTTCATTATATAGGAAACACTACAAGAGATTTTAATACTAATAATAATAATTAAAAAATGAAAATGCTGTTTGTCTTGTTCCAACTTTGCAAAACTATCCAACGTTCACTAATTATTTTTCTTGTTATTGTTTACATTAGAAAACATATCATATATTGCGTCGGTTGGCAGAACTGAAACATTTAGTAACAATTCAGGAAATATTCACTCAAGAAACTTTAAATAATTGTCAAAGTTCGAACTCGGAAGAACCCACATCCATAGAATATCCTCCCTTGAAGTGTTTTCTATATCCACAACTTAAAATACCATTACTTAAACATGACATAACCACACTTCTTGACAGAAAAGAAAATAAATACCGACTTCTCTCAGAATTAAAAGAAATAAGTAGAGTCGACTCGGGTTGCACGTGTCCACCTTGCAACCGACCTTCAAGAATTTCCCCAGTGTAAACGTCAATGTTTCATGAAAAAGGGGACCGTCGATTTTTTTGTCTCTGTTCATTGTAACGTGTGAATATGATTTCTGGTAATATTTGTGAGATTATGACGTTAGAGTTACTGCTGTCACAGTAACCTGTCATAAATGTCGCTTATTTTCAATTTCTTAATTGTTCATGAATTGTAAATCATGAAAAGAAACATTACAGCATGAAAATTAAAGTCAGTAAAAGAGAAGTAAATTAAATAATTAGTGAAATAAGCTAAGTAGTGAACGTAGCGCTGGCGACAGTTCAGTTACGAAGTTTCCAGTTTTTTCATTATATATAGAAACACTACAAGAGATTTTAATACTAATAATAATAATAATTAAAAAATGAAAATGCTGTTTGTATTGTTCCAACTTTACAAAACTATCCAAAATTCACTAATTATTTTTCTTGTTATTGTTTATATTAGAAAACATATCATATCTTGCGTTGTGTTGGCAGAACTGAAACAGTTGGTATCAATTTAGAGAATATTCACTCAAGAAACTTTAAATAATCGTCAAAGTTCAAACTCGGAACAACCCACATCCATAGAATATCCTCCCTTGTAGTGTTTTCTATATCTACAACTTAAAAAGCCATGACCTAAACATGACATAACCACACTTCTTGACAGAAAAGAAAATAAACAGCAACTTCTCTCAGAATTAAAGGACATAAGTAGAGTCGACTCGGGTTGCACGTGTCTACCTTGCAACCGACCTTCCAGAATTTCCCCAGTGTAAACGTCAATGTTTCATGAAAAAGGGGACCGTCGATTTTTTTGTCTCTGTTCATTGTAACGTGTGATTATGGTTTCTAGTAATATTTGTGAGATTATGACGTTAGAGTTACTGCTGTCACAGTAAGCTGTCATCAATGTCGCTTATTCTCAATTTCTTAATTGTTCATGAATAGTAAATCATGAAAAGAAACATTACAGAATGAAAATTAAAGTTAGTAAAAGAGAAGTAAATTAAATAATAAGTGAAATAAGCTAAGTAGTGAACGTAGCGCTGCCAACAGTTCAGTTACGAAGTTCCCAGTTTTTTCATTATATAGGAAACACTACAAGAGATTTTAATACTAATAATAATAATTAAAAAATGAAAATGCTGTTTGTATTGTTCCAACTTTACAAAACTATCCAAATTTCAGTAATTATTTTTCTTGTTATTGTTTATATTAGAATACATATCATATCTTGCGTTGTGTTGGCAGAACTGAAACAGTTGGTATCAATTTAGGAAATATTCACTCAAGAAACTTTAAATAATCGTCAAAGTTCAAACTCGGAACAACCCACATCCATAGAATATCCCCCTTGAATTGTTTTCTATATCCACAACTTAAAAAGCCATGACCTAAACATGACATAACCACACTTCTTGACAGAAAAGAAAATAAATAGCGACTTCTCTCAGAATTAAATGACATAAGTACAGTCGACTCGGGTTGCACGTGTCCACCTTGCAACCGACCTTCAAGAATTTCCCTAGTGTAAACGTCAATGTTTCATAAAAAAGAGGACCGTCGGTTTTTTGTCTCTGTTCATTGTAACGTGTGGATATGGTTTCTGGTAATATTTGTGAGATTATGACGTTAGAGTTACTGCTGTCACTGTAAACTGTCATCAATGACGCTTATTTTCAATTTCTTAATTGTTCGTGTATGGTAAATCATGAAAAGAAACATTACAGAATGAAAATTAAAGTCAGTAAAAGAGAAGTAAATTAAATAATTAGTGAAATAAGCTAAGTAGTGAACGTAGTGCTGCCAACAGTTCAGTTATGTAGTTCCCAGTTTTTTCAGTATATAGGAAACACTTCAAGAGATTTTAATACTAGTAATAATAATAATTAAAAAATGAAAATGCTGTTTGTCTTGTTCCAACTTTACAAAACTATCCAAATTTCAGTAATTATTTTTCTTGTTATTGTTTATATTAGAAAACATATCATATCTTGCGTTGTGTTGGCAGAACTGAAACAGTTGGTATCAATTTATGAACTATTCTCTCAAGAAACTTTAAATAATCGTCAAAGTTCAAACTCGGAACAACCCACATCCATAGAATATCCTCCCTTGTAGTGTTTTCTATATCCACAACTTAAAAAAGCCATGACCTAAACATGACATAACCACACTTCTTGACAGAAAAGAAAATAAATAGCGACTTCTCTCAGAATTAAATGACATTAATAGAGTCAACTCGGGTTGCACGTGTCCACCTTGCAACCGACCTTCAAGAATTTCCCTAGTGTAAACGTCAATGTTTCATGAAAAAGGGGACCGTCGATTTTTTGTCTCTGTTCGTTGTAACGTGTGGTTATGGTTACTGGTAATATTTGTGAGATTATGACGTTAGAGTTACTGCTGTCACAGTAAGCTGTCATCAATGTCGCTTAATTTCAATTTCTTAATTGTTCATGAATTGTAAATCATGAAAAGAAACATTACAGAATGAAAATTAAAGTCAGTAAAAGAGAAGTAAATTAAATAATTAGTGAAATAAGCTAAGTAGTGAACGTAGCGCAGCCAACAGTTCAGTTACGAAGTTCCCAGTTTTTTCATTATATAGGAAACACTACAAAAGATTTTAATACTAATAATAATAATTAAAAAATGAAAATGCTCTTTGTCTTGTTCCAACTTTGCAAAACTATCCAAATTTCAGTAATTATTTTTCTTGTTATTGTTTATTTTAGAGTACATATCATATCTTGCGTTATCTTGGCAGAGCTGAAGCAGTTGGTATCTATTGAGGAAATATTCACTCAAGAAACTTTAAATAATCGTCAAAGTTCAAACTCGGAACAACCCACATCCATAGAATATCCTCCCTTGAAGTGTTTTCTATAACCACAACCTAAAAAGCCATGACCTAAACATGACATAACCACACTTCTTGACAGAAAAGAAAATAAATAGCAACTTCTCTCAGAATTAAATGACATAAATAGAGTCGACTCGGGTTGCACGTGTCTACCTTGCAACCGACCTTCAAGAATTTCCCTAGTGTAAACGTCAGTGTTTCATGAAAAAGGGGACCGTCGATTTTTTTGTCTCTGTTCATTGTAACGTGTGATTATGGTTTCTGGTAATATTTGTGAGATTATGACGTTAGAGTTACTGCTGTCACTGTAAGCTGTCATCAATGTCGCTTATTTTCAATTTCTTAATTACTCATGAATAGTAAATCATGAAAAGAAACATTACAGAATAAAAATTAAAGTCAGTAAAAGAGAAGTAAATTAAATAATTAGTGAAATAAGCTAAGTAGTGAACGTAGCGCTGCCAACAGTTCAGTTACGATGTTCCCAGTTTTTTCATTATATAGGAAACACTACAAAATATTTTAATACTAACAATAATAATTAAAAAATGAAATTGCTGTTTGTCTTGTTCGAACTTTGCAAAACTATCCAAATTACAGTAATTATTTTCCTTGTTATTGTTTATATTAGAAAACATATCATATCTTGCGTTGTGTTGGTAGAACTGGCACAGTTGGTATCAATTTAGGAAATATTCACTCAAGAAACTTTAAATAATCGTCAAAGTTCAAACTCGGAACAACCCACATCCATAGAATATCCTCCCTTGTAGTGTTTCCTATATCCACAACTTTTAAAGCCATGACCTAAACATGACATCACCACACTTCTTGACAGAAAAGAAAATAAATAGCAACCTCTCTCAGAATTTAATGACATAAGTAGAGTCGACTCGGGTTGCACGTGTCCACTGTGCAACCGACCTTCAATAATTTCCCTAGTGTAAACGTCAATGTTTCATGAAAAAAGGGACCGTCGATTTTTTTGTCTCTGTTCATTGTAACGTGTGAATATGGTTTCTGGTAATATTTGTGAGATTATGACGTTAGAGTTACTGCTGTCACTGTAAGCTGTCATCAATGACGCTTATTTTGAATTTCTTAATTGTTCATGTATGGTAAATCATGAAAAGAAACATTACAGAATGAAAATTAAAGTCAGTAAAAGAGAAGTAAATTAAATAATTAGTGAAATAAGCTAAGTAGTGAACGTAGTGTTGCCAACAGTTCAGTTACGAAGTTCCCAGTTTTTTCATTATATAGGAAACACTACAAAATATTTTAATACTAACAATAATAATTAAAAAATGAAAATGCTCTTTGTCTTGTTCCAACTTTGCAAAATTATCCAAAGTTCACTAATTATTTTTCTTGTTATTGTTTACATTAGAAAACATATCATATCTTGCGTTGTGTTGGCAGAACTGGAACAGTTGGTATCAATTTAGGAAATATTCACTCAAGAAACTTTAAATAATCGTCAAAGTTCAAACTCGGAACAACCCACATCCATAGAATATCCTCCCTTGTTGTGTTTTCTATATCCACAACATAAAAAGCCATTACCTAAACATGACATAACCACACTTCTTGACAGAAAAGAAAATAAATAGCGACTTCTCTCAGAATTAAACGACATAAGTAGAGTCGACTCGGGTTGCACGTGTCCACCTTGCAACCGACCTTCAAGAATTTCCCTAGTGTAAACGTCAATGTTTCATGATAAAGGGGACCGTCGATTTTTTGTCTCTGTTCATTGTAACGTGTGATTATGGTTTCTGGTAATATTTGTGAGATTATGACGTTAGAGTTACTGCTGTCACTGTAAGCTGTCATCAATGTCGCTTATTTTCAATTTCTTAATTACTCATGAATAGTAAAACATGAAAAGAAACATTACAGAATGAAAATTAAAGTCAGTAAAAGAGAAGTAAATTAAATAATTAGGGAAATAAGCTAAGTGGTGAACGTATTGTTGCCAACAGTACAATTACGAAGTTCCCAGTTTTTTCAATTATGTAGGAAACAATACAACAGATTTTAATACTAATAATAATAGTAATAATAATAAAATAAAAATTCGTTCAAATTCGTTCATCTGATTTCAATTATGTAGGAAACAATACAACAGATTTTAATACTAATAATAATAGTAATAATAATAAAATAAAAATTCGTTCAAATTCGTTCATCTGATTTGGTAAAAATGTATTTTTATTACAAGTTTCAAATTTTGTGAAGAATGAACATAAAATTTGTGTATTGTGTATTTAGACAAAATTTCTGAAATTAGCTTTATTATTTAGTAGGAGAGCTACCCACAGACGTCAAAAGTAACCCGATCCACCCATTTCTATGTACCATTCGCACGACGTTTACAACCAATTTAGCCCTCCCACGACGCCCATTTCGATTTTTATTTCGCCGGTTTCCCATTTCAGTGTCGATCTGGCGGCATCCGGAGCAGCAATGATCCGCTTTGTCTTCCACTCGTGCAATTAGCGCCATCCCGGATCGAAACGGTGATCATGCGAACCATCGCAGCATCCCAGCTCCCAATTCACTTCACACCTACCACCTAAACTGTGTTTATGCGTTGAAATGTCCGTCTTAAACAACCCGTACGCAAAAATGAATTTTCCTTGAACATCATCCCGCTTAAGAAAGCAAACAAATTTCGCAATATGTGGTCGTCGTGAACGCGCTGGTGATGTATGTGGTGATAAGGGCCATTTTCGTGTTGCTCATGTAAGTTGTCGATAATTAGTTGATGGTTTGTTGGTTTTGGAGTGGTTTTATGGTGATTATGATCGGTGATGCGATTGATAACTGGCAGAGTGCCGGTTTTGCCAGGTTTGGACGGGTTTATTAGGGACAATTATTGCTCGTTTCCGGGCGGGCTGCGTATAAACACGCCAGAAATAACTAAATTATATTGTTTTTGTTTTGGAAAAGACATAAAATGCATTCGAACAGACGCGAACAATGAGTAAATATTTATGGCAGGTTTTATGATTGGGTTCGATAACTGTGGCGTGGCTTTTATTTTGGGACCGCAGGTGGGAATGGGGCGCTGTCTGAACTCGTTATTTTTGATTAATTGGGTGCCGGAATTACAAGCTATTTTAAAATTATACTTGCCAACTTTACCGTCCTAAATTTATATATGTAAAAATCTTGTAATGAAATACGTCACAATAAGGAAGCTTTTTTTTAATGGAAAATACAGTTTATTATAACACAACAAATGCTCAACAAATGACGTAATTTTTGTCCAGTAATTTTTTTGTGTCAAACTTTTTCTTTCAAGGTTTTTGGAAGTTGGTCTATGGGTATAAATGACGTTGATAGCGGGTCCTTTGAAAACTTGCAGTGGAATTTGCTTTTTGAAAAGTAAAAAATTCTGACACTTGCTTTCAGCTTAGATTTTTATTCAATTTGTATGTAGTTACTTTCCTACTTTATTTGGACGAAATATGGCCACAGTACAACTAATAATTATATTATAATACACAAAGAAACTTTTTATTCTAAAGGATCAATTAATTTCCCCGGCGCCTCCACCATTCTGGTCAAAATTTTTTACTTTATTTTTGTTAACGTTTCAAATTACGCAGAAGTCTGTACTGAACCTTCGTATTTTGGCCAGAATGTTCTCAATAGTAATTTCAAATTCTGAAACTCTTTCTTTCGCCGCATTCCCATTCTTATTTATTTTTGTTATATTTATAGTATTGTCTTGGTTATTTTAAAATACAGGTAGAAGTTTGAAATTTATTAGACTTGTTCATTAACAACATACAAAGAAATATATAAATTTGGTTTTTCGGGAATGACATCAAGTTTTTTTTATTTTTTGACTGCATGAAAATATTTTTTTATTGTAATCGAGTCCATCGGGCGATTTGCTGCTTTCATGTTTTGTTGACGTTTCATAATATCTAGAGTACGAAAAAATTGGTTTCTCGTTTCCATCTGTCTGTTGTTTGACCGTTTTCTAAGGACTATCGATTAAATGTAAACAAGTGTGTTTTCGTAATGTAATGCGTTCGAATCATAGACAGTGGCGAGTATGAGTGAATAAACTCTGATATATTAATGAATTTAGAAAAACAAGCTCTACAAGAATTCTTAAAAAATACAATTCGTAGATTCCAAATTCTGAAATTCTGGAGTCCATATTCCAAACTCTGTGAATCCCAAAAGCCTTACAAAAATAGTACTATACTGGTAAATCTGGAAGCCTGAAGTCTTAAATTTTAAAAACCACAATTTTTTAATACCAAATTCGGAAATTTTAAAGGTATAGTTATCATGTCTACAACCCTAAATCCTAAAAATTGAATTCCGAAATTCGGAATTCTGAAATTCTGGAATCCATATTCCAAAAACCTTAAATCCCAAAACTCCGAATCACAAATCAGGAATATTGCAATTCTGAATGCTGAAATCCTGAATACTATGATCCTAAAATTTGGACTTCTGGCAATGGGAAAATTTAGATGGTACTGGAATATCCATTCAAGTCCTGAATTTTAATACCTGTAATACGAATTCTTAAATTTTAGAAACCACAATCTTGGAATTCCAAATTTGGAAATTTTAAAGCTGTTCAGATGTTATTATGCCTCAAATCCTAAAAATTTCATTCCCAAATTCGGAAGTCTGAAATTCTGGAGTCAATATTCCAAAAACCTTGAATCCTAAAACGCCGAATCACAAAACAAAAATATTGAAGTTCTGAATTCTGAAATCCGGAAATTTGGAATCCTGGCAATCTGAACCCCTAGATGGTACTGCAAGTTTTGAGTTTTATTACCTGAAACACGAAAATGCAAAATCCTTAAAAAAATTAATACACTTCTGCTAAATCTAGAAGCCTGAAACCTTAAATTTTAAAGAATCTTGGAATTCCTAATTCGGAAACTTTAAAGGTGTCATTCCTTATGTTATATCGCATTGAATTCCCGAATTCCAAATTCTGAAATTCTGGAGTTCATATTTCAAAAACCTTGAATCCTAAAGGACGGAATCACAAATCAGAAATATTGAAATACTGAATTCTGAAATCCTGAATACTGTAGTCCTAAAATATGGAATTCTGGCAATCTGAAACGCTAGATGATACTGGATTATACATTTAAGTCTTGAATTTTAATACCTGAAGTATAAAATTGCAAAATCCTAAAAAAAATATATTTTTTTTGGATTAATTTTTAATTTTTTGAGGGTTCTAGATTTAGCAGTATAGTATTATTATTATATATACTGCTAAATCTAGAAACCTGAAATTTTAGATTTTAAAAACCACAATCTTGGAATTCCAAATTCGGAAATTTTGAATGTGAAGTTCCTGATGTTATCTTGCCTCCAATCCTAATTCCTAAAAATATTGAATTACCAAATTCCGAATTTTGAAATTCTGGAATCCTTATTCCAAAAACCTTATATCCTAAAACTGCGAATCACAAACAGAAATATTGAAATTCTGAAATTCTGAATACTATGATCCTAAAATTTGGAATCCTGGCAATCTAAACCCTTTGTTGCTCCTGTAATATCCATTCAAGTCTTGAATTTTAATACCATCTTGGACTTCTAAATTCGGAAATTTTAAAAGTGTAACTCCTCATGTTATTTTGCCTCTAATCCTAAATCCTAAAAATTGAATTCCCAAATTCCAAATTCTGAAATTCTGGAGTCCATGTTCCAAAAACCTTGAATCCTAAAACGCCAAATCACAAAACATAAATTTTGAAATGCTGAATTCTATGATCCTAAAATTTGGAATTATGGCAATTTGAAACCCTACCTAGATGGTACTGGAATATTCATTGAATTTTAATACCTCTAATACGAAATTCTAAAATCCTTAAAAAAATTAATACTTTACTGCTAAATATAGAAGCCTGAAATCTTAAATTTTAAAAACCACAATCTTGGAATTTTGAGGGTGTAGTTCCTGATATTATCACGCCTCCCAATCGTAAATCCTAAAAATTGAATCCCCAAATTAGGAATTCTGAAATTCTGGAGTTCATATTCCAAAAACCTTGAATCACAAAACATAAATATTGAAATTGTGAATTCTGAAATCCTGGATACTGTGATCCTAAAATTTGGAATTCTGGAAATCTGAAACCCTAGATAGTACTGAAATATCTATTCAAGTCTTAAATTTTAATACCTATAATACGAAATTCAAAAATCCTTAAAAAAAAATTAATACTCTACTGCTAAATCTACAAGCCTGAAATCTTAATTTTAAAATCCACAATCTTGGAGTTCTAAATTCGAAAATTTTAAAGGTGTAGTTCCTCATGTTATCTTGCCTCTAATCCTAATTCCTAAAAATATTGAATTACCAAATTCCGAATTTTGAAATTCTGGGATCCTTATTCCAAAAACCTTAAATCCTAAAACGGCGAATCACAAATCAGAAATATTGAAATTCTGAAATCCTGAATACTATGATCGTAAAATTTGGAATCCTAGCAATCTACAACCCTAGTTGATCCTGTAATATCCATTCAAGTGTTGGATTTTAATACCATCTTGGAGTTCTAAATTCGGAAATTGAAAGGTGTAGTTCCTCATGTTATCTTGCCTCTATTCCTAAATCCTAAAAATTGAATTCTCAAATTCCAAATTCTGAAATTCTGGAGTCCATGTTCTAAAAACCTTGAATCCTAAAACGCCAAAACACAAAACATGAATATTGCAATGCTGAATTCTATGATCCTAAAATCCTGACAATCTGAATCCTTAGATGGTACTGGAATATCCATTTAAGTCTTGAATTTTATTACCTGAAATATAAAATTGCAAAATCCTTAAAGAAAATTAATACTATACTGCTAAATCTAGAAACCAGAAATCTTTAATTCTAAAAACCACAATCTTGGAATTCCAAATTCGGAAATTTTAAAGGTGTAGTTCTTGATGTTATCTTACCTCTAAAGATAACTCCTTAAAATTATACTCCCAAATTCGGAATTCTAAAATTCTGGAATCCATATTCTAAAAACCTTGAATCACAAAACATAAATGTTGAAATTGTGAATTTGAAATCCTGGATACTGTGATCCTAAAATTTGGAATTCTGGAAATCTGAAACCCTAGATGGTACTGGAATATCTATTCAAGTCTTAAATTTTAATACCTATAATACGAAATTCTAAAATCCTTAAAAAAAAATAATACTCTACTGCTAAATCTAGAAGCCTGAAATCTTAATTTTAAAATCCACAATCTTGGTGTTCCAAATTCGGAAATTTTAAAGGTGCAGTTCCTGATGTTACCTTGCCTCTAATTCTAAATCCTAAAAATTGAATTCCCAAATTCCAAATTCTGGAGTCTATGTTCCAAAAACCTTGAATCCTAAAACACCAAATCACAAAACATAAATATTGAAATTCTGAAATCCTGAATACTATGATCCTAAAATTTGGAATCCTGGCAATCTGAAGCCCTAGATGGTACTGCAAGTTTTGAATTTTATTACCTGGAATTGCAAAATCCTTAAAAAAATTAATACTATTCTGCTAAATCTAGAAGCCTGAAATCTTAAATTTTAAAATCCACAATCTTGGAGTTCTAAATTCCTTAATTTTAAAGGTGTCGTTCGTGATGTTATCTTGCCTCTAATACTAAATCCTAAAAATTGAATTCCTAAATTCCAAATTCTGAAATTCTGGAGTCCATGTTCCAAAAGCCTTGAATCCTAAAACGCCAAATCACAAAACATAAATATTGAAATTCTGGAATCCTGAATCCTATGATCCTAAAATTTGAAATCCTGCCAATCTGAAGCCCTAGATGGTACTGGAATATCCATTCAAGTCTTGATTTTTGAAATTTCAAAATAATTAAAAAAAATAATATAAATCTAGAAGCCTAAAATCTTAAATTTGAAAAACAACAATCATGGATCCAAACTCGGAAATTTTTGTAGTTCCTGATGTTATCTTGCCTCCAATCCTAAATCCTAAAAATTGAATTCCAAAATTTGGAATTCTGAAAAGAATAATAAAATGCATTTTGCCTTATTGTTTCAAACTCAGCTGGAAAATGTATACAAAGTTATTTATTTTGGCGAGTAGTTTTCACATTAACTCATCCCGAAGTATCAACAGTTTGTTTTTTGTTTGTGGCCATCTCTTTTCAAACATTTCGTTCCGTTTCTTTGTTTTAAGATCTTGAAATTGTCATAAATATTTTGGTAAACGAAAGAAATACAGACATTGTTTTTTTGATATGAGAGAATTATCAAGTTTTTTTTTATATTATTATTTATGATAACCCCTATAACTTAAAATAAATGTAAAGTTAAAGACGCATTTTCTGGAAAATCGGTGAATCATTCTTGATTTAATCAATGCAATAAATTGCCTCATTTCGATTTTGCATCGATACAACGCATTATTCTAAGAAACCATACGCTCGAACCAGTCCAAACACTCCAAATTTTCCCCTTTTCTGACCACCTGTTCTCAGCTCTAGTTCCAGACAATATTAACCAGAAAATGCCCTCTTCGTGACGTCACAACCATGACTGATAAAGCCGTATCCACCGAAGATCTCTGCATTGATGTACCTCGAAACGCCAGTTTAGAGGCGCTTCGCCTCGAAGCCGTCATCAAGACTCTCATAGAAAACAAAGTAGAAACATTAAAAAACGCCAAACGCAAATCCTCAAGCATCACTTCCAGCCCGAAGAGCCTCTTCAACAAACTCCGAGGCACTTCAACATCGACAGTGTCTTCAAAAGACAAAGACGAAATCGTATCGATCCACTCGCCACTACCCAAACGACACGAAGTCAGTCGAAGACGCGACGGGAAACGCACAGGTAACCGCTTCCTCCATGCAGCCACACGTCTAGCTCGCTTTCCAGATCACCGCAAACGAAGAATACACCACCACTCGTCACCCAGACGCGCCAGGAAGTCGCACAAACCCCATGAACGCACCCTTCAGTTCAGCGACGAAGACGGTAACGAAAATTACGGGTTCTTGCACAGGGAAGCCATGTTGACGTGCGCGGAGAATTGCTGCTGTCGGCAAAACCCCAACGAAATGTGAGTTTTACGACGGTGTTAAGAAATGCGTTCATTACGATATTCGTAGACAAATCCACGTCGATAGCGACTTCATTTCGCTCAATCTCGAAGATTACAACAGTCTTGATCCTGAGGAGGTTGCTGCCATGAGTACGGTCAAGAGGGCTCAGAGGAAGAAGAGGCGGCGTCGGAAACACCAAAGGAGCCAGATGAAGATGACAGCGGTGGCAGTGCAGGTCAATGATTTGAAGGACTTGGATGACGATGAGTTGTCTCAAAGGGCTCGGATGACCATTGTTCTTACTGCCTTTTTGTTGCTATTTATGTGCCTGCTGCTGGTGGGGATTACCCTTAGGATGGCTCCGCTTATAGATGATATGGGTAAGGCTAATTGTCTCCATAACCTAGTGTTGCACTAGTATCATACAGCTTTTCCTGCTCGTGTTTCGAGTTCTATCGATTCTGATTTCGTATTCTTTAGCTTCTAAATTCTTTAGTAAGGCGCTGCTCATCCGCACTTACAAGGAAATTGGTCGATTTTTCGTGCGCTTGTATTTTTCTTTGAATTCGAGGAAACAGGATAAATAAATAATGTCCCTTTACTGGCCGTTTGTAACGAGTGAATAGTTCTTTTTTTTGAGACGGTGTAGCATACGTTTTTATGTGAGTAATAAATAATAAAAATAGATCCAACAGAATTGCGAATCCGGTATCGGTTCCAGCGCTTAATATATCATTCATGTCAAGTTTCAATGGTGTCTAGAATTCCGTCTGAAGTGCCACGAATATATTAACTAAAGCGAATAGAAACCTACTTTTATAATTTATCTAAGAAGTTGGACTTGTTTGTTTGTGCCCCAGGTGCGTCTAAATAACGGTATTTTTTTGACATACGGTGTATCTAATAAGATCAAGAGAGGCGGACGTAATGCTCTCGTATTCGTCTTCTTTTAAATAAACTTCTTAGTAATATATACAGCAGGTAATTACCCATAAATCTTGTAGTTTACAAATTACTGTCGTCTCCGTCCTTATTCTTAGTCAGTTCCAGTTAACTGAAAAATTTGCGTTTATTTATTCTTTGAGAATAAAACGAATAATGCAGTGACGTGCATCCAGTGTGCTGTCACAATAAGCTTGACGTATAGGAGCAGAGAGGTGACAACTTGAGATTTGGGACAAAATGCTCCTTAAGTGTCGTCGCTTTCAGTGTATACTTTAAACATACCTACACACTGAAATAAATTTAGGTTTAGCGTCACGGTAACATTTATTATATTACTGTTCAACGAAAATTCTTCTATACACAAATTTTAATAATAGATAGCAAAATAAAAGTCAGTTTGTGCTGACGTAAAGAAAAAATTCAAAGTGTAGTAATTATTTAATTAACTGAAGCAGTTGGCATGAATGAACGTCAAATAACTGTCAAAGTACAAACTCAGACTGGCCAACATTGTAAAAAATCCATGAGCTGAACGTGGTAAAAATGAATATTAAAAAATATGTAAAAATAACGACAAAAATTTAACAATTTTCAAGCGAGATTTTGACGTCATCGAGACTTATGTCATTTTTTCTCGACATTCCATAACTCCTATAGTATGAATAAGTTGGTCTCCCGTTTACGCATGTCTGTCGTCTGTGAGCGGTTTTATTCTGTACTAAAATTTTTGATGTATTATTTTTATTTTGATGCTAAAACGCTAACCAAAAATTGTGTGATCGCTCCCACCAAAAGTCTGATGACGTCATCTCAAAATTTTGCAAAGTGGTTCTTGTGTAAATCTTATAATATAACGTATTTACTTCTTTCTATTATGCAGAGAAAAAAAATTTGTTGCCCTATTTTCATCGTTTTTTGTATTTTTTAAACCTTTTTTTTAACTTTTTTTGCTTCTTCGTTTTATTCGCCCTATTTAAGTGTCCTTTTTGTCGTTTTTTGTGCCTTTATTGCATTTTTTGTCGCTTTTTTCCTCACTTATTTGTCTTTTGTCTTGTTGTTTTTCTTTGGTGAGGTTTTCATTATTTTTTGTTTTTACTTTTTTCAATCCCTATTTTGTCGTCTTTTTGTAGTTTTATTTTGGTTACTTTTCTCCCTCCCGATTTTTATTAGCTTTTTATGAATTTTTCTGTCATTGTTCTTATATTTTTTGGCAGTACGATTTGAGGTTGTCACAGACATGATAAATCGCTAATCAAAAATGATCTGTTTATCCCTTCAAAAGACTGGATGACGTCATCTCATAATTTAGCTGTATCAATCCTAGATAAAATGCAGAAAGTGGGTCTACATTTGTGGTTTATCATTGAATTTATATTTTCTATCTCCTTTTTTGTTGTCACATTTTTTATTCTTTCTTTGTTGCCTTTTTTCCTCATTTTTTTGACTTTTTTGTGGTCGCGTTTATTGGTTGTATTTTTCTGGTCTTTCATTTAGTCGCACTTTATTGTGGACTTTTTTGGTGCTTTGTCAATTTTCTTCTAGTTTTTTTCCTTTTTTGTTTGCTTTTTATGGCCTTTTTCTGTAGCATTGTTTTTGCCCCTTTTGTTATGGTTTTGCTTCTGTTTTTACCCTTTTTTAGATATTTCGTCTTTTTGTCGCCTTTTTTGTTAATTTTCATATATTTTTTTCACTTTTTTTTTATTTTCACCATTTTGTCCCTTGTTTTTGAACACCACGATACTTAAAAATATGTTTTTCATTTCTTGTAATGAAATAAGGGTCCTCTTGATTCACGCCTAATACAAAAAATCATCACACTTGAGATAGGACGGGTGGGCGGGCTAAAATGTTGACTTTTTTTGATATGTATTATCTTCCTTTCACAACATGAAACTTACAACATGTTTAAAATGGAAAATTTGTATAAAGAAATATCCATTTTCCAGTTAGGCTTCGCCCCATATGTATATTAAGAAAAAGAAAAAGCAAAATATAAGCCCTGCCCGCCCACCCGATTTCCATTCTGATGATTTTTTATTCATCGTGAGCTGCGGGGTGGAACTTAATTGCAAAATTCATGTTTCTTTACAAAAATTTATGAATTTAAACGTGTTTTAAGTTTCCAAGAATAAAAAGAATCATACGAATGTAAACGGGGTGGGTGGGCGGGGCAAATATTTTGCCTTTTTTTCTTAATATACACAGTATTCTTTGAACACCACGACTCAAAAACATGTTTTTATTTTCTTGTAAAGAAATAAGGGTTTTTCAGTTAAGCTCCGTCCCCTTGGTTCACGCCTAATAAAAAAAATCGTCACAATTGAGATAGGGCGGGTGGGCGGGCCAAAATTATGTCTTTTTGTTTTAATATGTATAGACTTCTTTTCACAATATGAAAGTTAAAATATGTTTAAAATGGAAAATTTGTGTAAAGAAATATCGATTTTCCAATTAGGCTTCGCACCACAATTCCAAAATCCAGATTTCCTTGAAAAATATACCATTTTAACCGTATTTTAAGTTTCTTGTTATGAAAAGGTGGCTATGTATATTAAGAAAACAAAGGCAAAATAGAAGCCCCGCCCACCAACCCGATCTCAATTCTGATGACTTTTTTATTCGGCGTGACTCGAGGAATTGTGAATTGTGAAATCCTTCTTTTTCTACGAGAAATTACCATGTGAAATATGTTCTTAAGTAATCGTGTTATATAAAGAAAACTAAATGTATTAATTTAAAAAAAAAACCAAAGAACAAGCTCTCTCGATCTCAATTGTGATGAATTTTTCATTCGTTGCCAGACCGACGAACGAAGCCTAATTCCAAAATCCAAATTTCCTTAAAAAAATTTACAATTTTAAACGTGCTTTAAGTTTCTAAGAATAAAAGAATCATCACAATTGAGATGGGGTGGGTGGGCGGGGTTAATATTTTGCCGTTTTTTCTTGATATGCATTGTGTTCTTTGAATACCACGATACTCAAAAATATGTTTTTAGTTTCTTGTAAAGAAATAAGGATTTTGCAGTTAAGCTCTGTCCTCTTGATTCACGCCTAATACAAAAAATCATCACAATTGAGATAGGGCGGGTGGGCGGGCTAACATTTTGCTTTTTTTTTAATATGTATTATCTTCCTTTCACAACATGAAACTTAAAACATGTTTAAAATGGAAAATTTGTATAAAGAAATATCCATTTTCCACTTTGGTTTCGCCCCATAAATGCAAAATCCATATTTCCTTGTAAAAATCTACCATTTTAACCATGTTTTAAGTTTCTTGTTATGAAAGGATGACTATGTATATTAAGAAAAAGAAAAAGCAAAATATAAGCCCCGCCCACCCACCCGATTTCAATTCTGATGACTTTTTTGTTCGGCGTGACTCGAGGAATTGTGAATTGTGAGATCCATATTTTCTTACCAGAAATTACCATGTTCTTTTTTGATAGCTTTTCTCTGTGGCCTTTTATGTCGTCATCTTTGTCGATTGTTTTACTTTTTTGTCGCTTTTTTCGCCTTTTTGTCGTTTTTTTTATTTCTTTATCTAAGTTTTCTGTCCAATTTTTACGTCTGTTTTTTGGTCGTTTTATTGTTGCCTTTTTCCAACATTTGTCTTTATCTTTTTGTCGTCATTTTTTCGCAGATTTTGTTGCTGTTTTGTTTTTTCCACGCATTTGTTTATGCTTTTGTGTCCTTTTGTTAGTCGCATTTTTTTACCCTCACTTACTTGTTCTCGCATTTTTTTGTCTGTTTCTCTGTTTTTTTTAATCTCTTTTTTCACATTTTTTGTTGCCTTTTTTTGTCTATTTAGTGGCTATTTTGTACCTCACAATTTTAGGTACTATGAATCTACATTTGGGGTTTATTTATCTCCTTATTTTTGCGTTCTTTCGTCTTTTTTGTTGCCATTTTCCTCTTTTTTTACTTTTGTTGTTTCTGTTTTGTAGCTTTTTTGTTCGCATTTTTTATAGAATTTTTTTGGTCACTTTTTTGGTCCCTATCTAAATCGCATTTTTCCGTCTTTTCTTTGTCACCTTTCTTGTGGAATTTGTTGTTTTTTTCCCGTTTTTAAGATTTTTTCTGCCATGTTTTTTGTCGCATTTTTTTTAACTTTTTGTCCCTTTTTTGTCGTCCATTTTTATCGCTTTTTCTTGATCTTTTTTGCTCCTTCGGTTCATTCGCCCTATTTAGGTATCTTTTATTGCTTGCTTGATGCTTTTTTGTGGTTTTTTGTCTTTTTTGATTTTTTTTGTCGTTTTTTTCCTCATTTTTTGTCCTTTGTTTGTCCTGTTGTTTTCTTTTGATGAGGCTTTTCATTATCTTTTGTGTTTCAACACCCATTTTGTCGCTTTTTTGTAGTTTTTTTATTACTTTTCTCCCATTTTGTCTTTTTTTGTTTCCTTATTATGGCTTTTTTTCTGCACCGTTGCCAG